CGCCAGCAGAAGCTGCACGAGACGCCAGCGCGCCGCGCGGGCACAGGCGCTCATCACCTTCGCTGTGTGGGGCGGGAGGACCCGGGGACAGGGGCAAGAGGCCGCTTCCCAGGTCTTTCCATACATGTTTTTCCTGGCAAACACCAAGGGGGCGGATGGTTCGGCTGGAAAAGTGGGAACCAGTTGATCATGAGATCTGCTTCACCAGGATAGGATACCAATGATCAGGGATGGTAAAACCAGCCCAGCACGAGGTCGGGGTTGCGCTAACTCGGGGGGGGGATGACACAGACTGGCGTGGGCCAGTGGAATAGACCCCAGTGTTTACTTTTGGCAAAAACCTTTACATACCGAGTAGCTGGTTGTACGGCTAATGTCCACAAAAGGCCGTGGCCCAATGGCCCACGATTCACATTCAGATCAAACCCCCTGTGAGGTTTCAAGGCAGCTTCGGGCCAAAGGTTCGGAATCTTAGGCCGTTCAACAGGCTGGTGCCTGTTTCGAGATACGAACCACGGCTATAGCAGGAATCCGGTATTGTACAAAACTAAACAGGCCCCCGCGTGTTTTCCAACAAACGTTAATTTTCGAAGCAAAGTGTCGGAAAAGCGAGAACTCCTCTCAAGGTCGGGCGGCCGAATTGTAGACGATGATCCGATCGTTGAGCTCATTGAGCGGCGACTGCAAGTGCTGGAGCGCTAGCTGCCATGAAGCTGACCTGGCGGCTGCCTTCAAGTCCGGGAAGCGTAGTGCATCGCCAGCCATCGATGGCCCTGTCGCCCGCCCGCCCTCTTCCCAGCTCAGCTGCACGGGAGTTTAACGAAACACTTTTGGAAAGGAGCCCCCTGCTACCTGTTGCGGCCATACTGTGGATGGAGTACCTGGCCGAGTGGCTTGTCCCAGTATTCACAGGGCTTCAATCAAAAGCGCAGGATTTAGCCCATCCAGCCAAGCCACGCCCGCCTGAGACCGGGCCATCGCCTCACCCAAGCGAAGGCGATGGCCCGGCTGCGCGGCGAAGCCGCGCCGCGCGTCGCCAGCGACAGACCAGTGGTGGCCGGGCGAACGAACCGAAACTGCGGCTGACGCAAGCAGCGTATTCACCCGAGGGGGGGAGGGGGAGGGGGAGGGGGAGTAGTTCGAATGAAAAGATCGATACTGAAAAGATCGGTACAACCCCATGGGGTTTTCTCTTCAGGGAAGATGACAGTTTACTAGTCTTCTGCTGCAATATGACTTTGAGAGCCATCCACTGGGGGCAATGGCAAAACCACAAGATCTGAGCCCCAAATCATTAATGGCGAGCTGTTGACCCCCAGCGCAACGGGCGCCAAGCCGCGGCGTGAAGCGCTAAAACCATCTGCCACTGACCGCTGCGCGCATCATCCTGGTGGCCGTGCGGTTCGTAAAGGGCAAACAACATTCGACAGCTTTGGCTCTTAAGAGTCTTCCTTCAGAGGCGCAAGGCTGTGTCAACGTGGAACGTTGGGAAGGCCTGGCCAAAGGCCGCTGAAATGCCGACCAGGTGCAAGCTCTCACTTTGTAACTAGCTCCCTTCTACTGATAACCTGGGGTTGATCAAGATTCCTGGCCCAAAAATGACCAGGCGGGGCTGATTTTTTGGGGTGAGGGGCGTGCCATGGGCCCTGGGTATGTGGCTTTGTCTCAAAGTTGGGGTCCCGGAACCCTCCATGGTTTCCAGTAAATTGCTTCCCTTCAAAGCCAAGCAGCATCTCCGAGAAAACAGAGCGTGTGGACCCGTTTTGAGCCACCGGGAAAAGGCACACGTCATTCATCCGCATTTTTTACAACAATTTCCAAAGCTGATGTCAGGGATCCCCGAAAAGGATCTTTACCATGGCTTTTGCTCGTTTTACCCCCGAATCGGTCAGCTCGCGTCATAAGATAGGCCGAGATTCACACCAACCACGCCCGCGAATTTGTGCCACGTCCGAGGTGCACCGCGCCTGCGGGCGTTGGTTTCCGGCCCCGCAGCAGGGACGCGAGCGTAGCACCCCGTTTGGTGGACCTGGGAAGCCCGACAAGGTTTCACCCTTTGGCTGCGCAAGCACAAAAGAGCCAAAGTTCTAAGGCTTAAGTCTGGCAACCGCCTGCACTCCGGAAATGGGATTCAAGTGTCTATCGAAAAACGTCATGCCCATATGGTAGGTATCGATCCAATGCTTGGTTTCCAATCCGTTGGTTTATCCAACCCCGGAAGGGGGCAACCCGGGGTTGACAGGACTTCAATTTGCTGGTTGGCCAATGGGTGTGCTTCCCAACTTGTTCCCTTGTTCTTTCAAAACCACCAAAAAAACCTCGAGTCATTTTGAGGCTCCTTCAAGATTCAAGGCGCCATGAATCCAAGCATGTGGGAACTGCGCAATGGAACGCCTCCGGCCACAACCGGCACATTGGAGAACAAATCCCTCTACGGGTCTCTCATTGTTTTGTGGTGCCCATGTTTGGGGGTTGGTCTTTAAAGGGAAACCAAAAGGATAAACACCATTTTGGCGGAGGCCCCTAAAACAAGACACACACGTGTATGTGTATATATATATATATGTATTTATTGTATACACATATGTATTATATGTATATATGTATGCTGCATATTTAAGTATAGCCACCGTTTAATACTATATACATATATGCATGGTTCTACTTTTTGAGTACCCAAAGATAGGCTTAAACCCAGGGGTTCTCCTTTTGGGGGGAAGGAACCACCCCTGGGTTTAAGTCTACCCTGGTAGTCAAAAAGTAGAACCCTGCATCTATGTATAATACAACCAAGTTTTCTGGGTCACCGGTGGTGGTTGGGAGGTAGTCGGAAACGTCCTTCAGCCTCAGCCCATTCCCCAAAAAGGCTGTGAGCCGGTCACCCGCCAAATCGACCCGGGAACGTTCAGACGGTTGTGCAATGTGCAACGTGCCGTTTCATTCACGGCTGTGGCTCAAAAAACCGGAACCCAAAATGGAACCCTGGTAAGTGGAAACATGGACCAAAACCCCTCCTGTTTTATGGTTTGAGATGTTTGGCAGCGATCGAACACGCAGCTTGGCTGCAGCTTGGGAGGCCTCTGCCTCTTTCCCAACGCACTTCTCTGGTGCTTCTGCCAGTCATCTTTGCTCGCTGTTATGCTGCAAATTGAGAGGACCTTTCTTTCCTCTATGATGATGCGCAGCGCAGCTGTTATGATTCTGGCAAATTGATTTTGAGCCGCACCCACATACTTGGCTTCATGTTGGCTTGATTTGAACGCCCGCAACAGACACGTTACCATTAACCTCAGCTTCCCCTGGCAGGCATGCCACACTGGGGAGTCCCATCCCAAACCTAAACCCTTCAATCCTTTGAAGTGGATGTGTCTTTTTTCAGGGGACCCCCCCCCCAAAACAAAAAACATGCCCGCAAAAGAAGACACGCCCAAGTCCAGCGTTTCCGATCCCCCGCCTGTAGGTCCAAAGGGCCCGCCCTCGCCCATCCGCCAACCACCCGCTGCAAGGCGCCAGTTGGGCTCGCAGGCTCTCGCCGCTGCGCCGCGCACAGGATGGCGTCACACGGAAGCCTGCCAGCCAGGTCGAAGTCGATGACTCTAAATCGTGGAAACCAGGAGTGTCTGCTGGAAATGTGCCAAACACCAGGGGGAAAAACAAGAAGAGAAAACCACCAAGGGATGTGCTGGAGAACGTCCTGCAGCCGTCTTAGATTCTTTTGGGGTCAGAAGTCATACTGTGGATGGACGAAACTCCTTTCGCAACATCTTCCAAACCCTGGAATGAATTGATTTTCCTCTGTGAATACCCACACGTTCTGGTCTCCTGTGGTTTCAAAGTGGAACTCACTTCGTCCATCCGGACCCCCGGAGTTTGAGAAAACCGCTTGCTCCGAATGGAGGCGCTTGCGTTTCCGCGGCCCCAGCTCCAAAGCCGAGCCTGCGCAATGCTGAAGTCAAGGCGTGTAGGGGGAGGTTTTGCGGATACGTCTTGGATGGCGTCTTTGGGGATGACTTTTTGAAGATACCTCAGGAGGGGGTTTTGAGGAGATATCTTCAAGAGCGCGTATTTGGAAGATGTTCAGGCCTTATGTCGAGGACCCACCGGGTGTAATTTAGGGCTCGCCTCTGGCGGCCCATCTCCCTCAGCAACGCAAGGCCAGCAGTCCATTGGCTGCAGGTCTCGCACACTGGGATGGCGGCGCAGATGATGAAGTTCCTGTTCGCGGGGAAGCCCGAAAAGAAAGGCCCAAGTGGGGAAACCAAAAATTCGGCAAGCCCCAAATTGGAAGAACGCCTTACAATCCAGCTGCGGGAACGACCTCCTTTTTGGACTCAATCCGAGTCCATTTTCGCCATGCTCAAAGGTGCCTTTGGCTCCCGTGTCTGTGGGCTTGAAGCTTCATGGCCATAGGTGTCCTTTTGGTAAAACCTGGATTTCAAATGGTATTCAATGGTAGATGGAATAGAACCCACCTAAACCAAAGGAGCCCATCTATTTCTAACCAAGCCAACCGATTGACAGGGTCCCACATTGACCGTGGATACCAATTGTTTGCGCTGCTGAACCTAAGGGGCTTCGCGCTCTCTCGCACCGGTTACACCCTGGCAAGACGATGGCCCCAAATCGGTTGGCGTCATCTGCAATTGTCCCCTGTACCAGGGTGCCATGCAAAGACCCTTGGAAACATGTGTCAAAATGGCGGGGGACCTCTCAAAATGGTGGTTTATTGGTGGTTTTGTGGGGGGGGGACCTTTCAAAATGGCGGCTTGCCCCCTTTAACCTGGGGCCCTGAAACGCCCTCAAACAACAACGCCAGCTGCGTCAACCTCCTTCGGGCCATCGCTGGCCGAGTCACCCGCTGCCACATCCAGCGCCTGCAATAGGTAGGGAATGACCGTTTGGGCATTCCCTGAAAGGAAACCATAGGAAATGGTTGATAGGGGCATAAGAAACCAGACAGGGTACCATTCTCCAAAACCCCATGCGCCCCTGCACCGAGCTTCAAAACCAACTGAGGCCATCAATAACAAATACCCCAGCAATACTGTCTGCTCTGTTTGCTCACCATTCACGCTGAGAAACCAAAGAAAAAACATCGGGTTCTCCCCCCCTAAAAAGCCTCCATCTGGTCTTTAAAAGGTAGTTCCCATGGCTACCCACTGGGAAGGTGTACTTGCTGGCGCTCAGCAGAATCCCTGAGGGAATGACGCCGAAACAAACCATCTTCATATGGCTTCCTTCAAGGGAATCCAGAGTGGCGAGGCGAAGCGAACGCCGCGGCACAGGGAAAATGATATGGTGTGACCCTGTTCCTCATTTGGCCTACCCTAGAACAAAAAGAACGCTTGTAGGAGACCCTCGGCAGATGGAAGTGGAGCCCAGAGAACGATCTATTTGTAGAGGAACCTCCTTTTGGTCACCCCCCGCTTCTGGATTATTTCAATTAGCAGGGAATGATATCACCAGAAATTTGGCAAAACAATGTAAACTTCGGATTAATCTGGAGGACCTAAGAAGCCAGAGCCCCCCCCGAACCAAAACAACAAAAATGAAAACTTCCTTACCAATAGTGGAAGCGCCCCTGGGCCCCTGATTGGTGCAGTCCTTCGGATCAATCTCAAGTTAACATTGCCCCCCCCGCCCCAAAACAAGAGAAAGAAAGCCTACTTAATTTTGAACAAAAGGAGGACCACAGTGGGAAGCCCATTCGAGTGAGGAAGGAGCTCATTTTAGATTCGTATGGTTCTCCGGACTCACCCAAAGTTGTCATTACACCGCTTGGATGATTTACCCACGTCTACCCTCCATATGGATAGAATGTTGGCAGCTATTCGGCCTATGCGGGGATAGGCCTCAACGCCACAGAACTCAAAAGCAAACGTCCGGCCTGCTGACCGGCTCCGCTGGTGGCATGGCTAATGCAGATCCACGCGAGCGGCTTTGAGCAGATGCATCTGCAGAAAAAAAAAAGGAAAACAAAACAAAAAGCCAAGACGCCGCTGGAGATTTCAGACATCACCACCCCCCTAGTTCAAGTCATGAGTAAGCTCGTCAAGCATGGGCTTGTCAATTTAGGCAAGGTCCAAGTCAACAAATGAACCACCATGAAGTTACATTTTGCCTTTGCCTTTTTTGAAGATCCAACTTTTTGTCTTGCACAATGCCATGCCGGGGAGTCCCCCAGTTCGGATACTCAACTTTTAACTAGGGTATCCATATGAAACGGGCCCGTCGCTGAACGGAGTGGTTTGGAGCCAAACTTTCAAGCAGAAAATATCTTATATATGTATACACCTGGACCCCCCATATCCGGGAATTTTTGGTGATTTCCATCCTCCGTGATTTTTCCCAGCGCTTTTCTAGAAACCGGTTGCTTTAGGAGTGGTGGTGTTGTCATTTCAGGAAGTAGGAGCGGTTTCCAAAAACCAGGAGTGGCTTCCAAAAACCAGGAGCGCTGGCCAAAAAACAGGAGTGAAGAAAACAAACAAACTGTTTGTTCGATGTGTGTTCATGTGGTGCAACTTCTTCCTCAACCCCACCATCGTGTACACGCAAGTGGCGGCGCGGAGGCTCAGTTTTCCCTCATGGCTACTTGATCAAGCTTTGCTAAATCCCCAATGTCTTCACAAAGACGCGACTGGGTGAGGATCGCCTACTGATTCGGCTCACCCGACCTATGAAGTCTTCGTCCCCCCAGCAAGAATAACCTTAGATAACGGCCGGCTTTGCCCGATGTAGATTCCATGCCTCCGAAGCTTTGGGTTGTTGCTTCAGATCCGAAAACACCAATCCCAAGAAGAACGCGTGCCAGTGCAGCCAATGGCACTTGCCAAATTCACAGCTGCATGCTTTCCCCGCAGCAGCTCTTGCAGGCAATGGCTATTCATGTGCCCCTTCGGCTTTACCCGGTAGATCTTCCACCCGATAGAGTAGCTTTGGCTGGCCAGGTAGCAGTAGGCTTCTGACCCTGCTTGTCCAGCGCGAGCTGCCACACTTCGGCTGGGATCACTGATGGACACGCCATGCTGTCTCAAAGTGCGAAAGCAGAAGTTGAAGGCGGCTATGCAATACTTTGCACCTTGAACAAGTGGATCTGAAGTAAAGTCCTTAAGGTGAATCCTGGGACCCGAACAAACATGATTGAACAGGTGTTCCAACAATAAGGATCGAAAGCCTAGGTTATCCTAATAAGTCCATGAGAAGGGGATAGCACACTCGGGGCTCCAAATAAAAGTATCGACAGATCAATCCTGTTGAAGGCCAGGCGATTGGCGCGATTCAGTTGGGCACCAAAAGTATGTTAAATGAAATGGCAAGAAACCCTGCCCTTCATCCACTCCTCCAACCAGCACATTACGGTCGCCGTATCACAGGCTTTGGAATTCGAGCCGAGGCTTTGTGGGAAGTCATTGATCCTACAGGCCGGGTTGGATTTGAAACACGGAGTCGATCGGTAAAACTGGGACATTTGAGGGCGGGAATTTCACTTCAACATCAGAAATGTGTTGCGGGGGCCTCCCAAACTGATTTGCATTCGGCCCCTACTATCCAAAACATGCAGTGGGTGAATGGCGGGGAATTTCTTTAAACCTCAGTTTGCGACTCGCGTTGGCAAGTCTCCTCTGCATGGCCATGGATCTCAAAGTCCACTGTGAAGAGATGCCACATGTCTTCTTATTGAACCCATGAAAGTCCTCCACGCCGTTTCCAATCTGCATTCAATTGTGTTCCCTCTGTCATCAAACAGACCGCCCAAGATGTGTGGCACAGGTCAGGCATGATTGTTTCCGCAGATATTCCAGGTATCCTCAAAAGTGGGTTGTTCCCAGCGTAAAAAGGTGATGATGCCTGATTGGCCTGTCTCCACAAAGCGTCATGGTGTGGGTTGTGGTAGTCAGGGCCGCTGCATGCGTGGCATTTGTCCCTATTGCTAAAGCCACAGGCTAAGCGAAAGGCCTGGCAGGTTTCCAAATCCAAAGTTGGGAGCCACAGGAAATAAACAGACTCCGTGATGAGCCCTATAGCAACATTTTCACATTGTATAGGGTTCCTTTGTTCTTTTGATAAACCAAAAAAAGGCACCCTTGGTTCACGATGTTGGCCCCCAGAGGCCTTGTTTTTCCCGACTCGATTGCTAGCACGCGCTTCCTGAACAAACAAGGGTTCCCCTCTCCCACACAAAAAAAAGGTCTAACAAGTGCCATGCAGACATGCCGCAAGTTTTCCCAAGTTAAGAACCCTCAGTTTGGGGCTCCCTTTGAAAGAACAATTGCGTAGCTTTAGGGTCACCCACCATGTATATAATTTGCTGTGCAAGGGAGGCCATGAATCGATTGCCGCCTATCATGGGGCGCCTACTTGCCAGCTACACATCCCAGCCACAGCCGCACTCCGTCGGCCTAGCTAGAGACCAAAGCTCCTGTATTCACTGTTCAATCTTTTAATACACATAACTTGCCAAACTTGAAGGGAGAAATGCGCTAAACCTCAGCTACGCTGCTTCGAAGCCTTCGTGGAACAAGTGCACAGCGTCATCCGCCATTTGTTCACGCAGCAGATCCAGGGTGGTAGACCCGCAAAACAAGGATGTGCTGATGGCTGTCAGCAAAAACTCGAGTGCATCGAGTACCTTAGGCATGTCACACGTGCAACCCAATAGTTGCAAGCCCGGGCATGACTTGTTAAAAGCCTAGTTGCCCAGACTCATTGTTATACATGATGCCACGCCACCCAATCAGCGGCTGGAACGACTCTACCATGTAGGGTTTCCGACCTCATCTCCATGCAAACAGTACGGTATCATGAAGGGAAGCCAGTCACAATGGCGAAAGGCTTTGTGCTCAGGATGAACACTTTCATACAGCTCCCAAAAGTTGCTGAATTGCTGCATCCATTGTTCTTGTTCTTCAAGCCTAAATCCACCCAGCAGGTACTCGGGCTTTTGCGTGAGCAGTGTGCCCACCCAAGAATGCATTTTGCAAATCGGCACCTTTGCCTGGATGGACTCAAACTGTGGTTTCCTTCGCAAAATTGGTACCTGGAGAAAGTCGGTTTTGACGGGTAGCCGCATGCCACGGCGCTCTATGAGCCGGTGCAGGTTCCGGCACGCATGCTGCTCGTCGTGGCAAGCCCGCTGGACTTTGCGAAGCAAGTCGGGGCGCCCATGGCGTCCTCAGTATTGAAACAAAAAGGAGATCACATTTGCCAATTGTTGTGCTAGCAGTTTTGCATGTAGCCAAGTCTCTTTTGCGAACCCGGCAAATCATTCGAGCATGTTTGCCAACTTGCTTGGCGCTCTGTGCCTCACAACCGCATGCAACAGATTGCATGTTTCGTCCGATTCAGGTCAGCCCTTCTTGACACCCAAGTAAGTGACCGGGGCCCCAAAATCTTAATTGACAGGGTGCACCACTGCAGTACTCGAGCACCAATTCCAGGGCCAGATCAGAATCTTCAGAAACTTCCGAATCAGATGAAAGTGCAGTTGGCCGTCCTGTTGAAATCAACTGAGCTCACACTCTTGCAAACTGTTGCGTGCAGCCACTCGGTCAATTATTTGTTTGTGACCTTTTCGGTCTATAGGTGTTTTGTTGAGATGAAAGGGACCCCATTCCATTGTTGGAGAACCAGGACCAGTAGCCACTCTGTGCTCACACGACACTAAGAGAGCATGTGTGCAAGGCTCCTGCAAGGCCTAATTTCCTCGTTGATGTGCCTGGCATATGCAAGTGGGATCAGGTACGGCTGCATGCGTGCAATGTGCGGTGTAACATCGGTCAACCCTTGAGTTTTCCCCTCAAGCGCACACACACACACCCACCCACCCACCCACCCACCCACCCACCCACCCACCCACCCACCCACCCACACACCCACCCACCCACCCACGCACGCACGCACGCGCGCACGCGCGCGCGCGCCCGCCCGCACGCCCGCACGCACGCACGCACACACACACACACCACACACACACACACACACACACACTCTTGCGCGCACACACACACACCTAAAGATTATATTATATATACATGCATCAACACACACACCCATTAGATTTCAATTTGCAGCTCAGCAACTTCCAGTATGTGCCATCATCATACATCAGGGAGCCATGGTTCCAGTTTGCCTGCAAGCCTTGATTTGCCTGCCTGTCGGGATGGGCTAGTGTGGCGGGTGCCTGAGCTGCCAACGGCTGGGTTGGTGGCACCTGATCTGCTTGAGCTGTCATCGGGGATGGTGGCAACAGGTGCTGCCGTCAAGGATGATGGTGGCACGGGTGCAGGTGCCCAGGTGAGGTGCTGCCACCTGGGTCGGTGGCACCTGAGCTGCGGCTGCTGCTTGAGCTGCCAACGCTTTGAGGAGGTGCTGCCACTGGCTGCAATTGCATCTGGGCTGCTGCTGCTGCACGGTGCTGGGGGCTGCGTCGGGGCTGCATCTGTGCTGCTGCTGCTGCCGGTGCTGGGGATGGGGATGGTGCTGCCAGGTTTGCCTGAGCTGGTGCTGCCGCTGCCGGTGCTGGGGATGGCAGAGGTGCTGCCACTCTGGGTTGGTAACACCTGCATCTGTGCTGCTGGTGCTGCGGATGGTGGTGCTGCCACTGGCTGGGTTGGTGGCACCTGCATCTGCTGCTGCTGCAGGTGCTGGGGATGGTGGCACAGGAGGTGCTGCTGCTGGCACAGGAGGCGCTGCCACTGGCTGGGTTGGCGGCACCTGCGTCTGGGCTGCTGCTGCTGGCACAAGTGCCTGACTGTGAGCTTCCGGCAATTGCCAGGTCTGAGTTGCTGCTGGGGCTGCTTGAGTCTCTTCCTGGCTGCTTTGGATTGTTTCCACATTCTGTGTGCGTGCCAAGCCTGGTAGGGCAACGGGCTGCCCCAACGGTCTGGCTGGAGGCCAATTAATTCATCAATTGCTTGTTGAATCCCAGCTGCAAAATCCATCATGTTCGTCTTCATTTTCTGCATGGAGACGAGCCACGTGTCCGGGATCAACCCTGACACCTCTTTGACCTGTACAAATAAAGGACAAGGCTGGGCAGGGAGGCCTCAAGCCAAGGGTCTTCGGTTTGCAGCGCATCAAAGACTTCTACATCAGTGCTTGTTGGGTTTAGGACGGCCTTCCTGCTCATGTCCATTCGGGGCAGGGCCCGGGCCGGCTCCCAAAGCTCCCCAAATTTCCGCGGATAGGACCTGCAATTTCAACTTGGGGGGATGAAGCATTGCAAGCCGATTGCAGGTTGAAATTGTTGTTTTGCTCTCACAGGGCTCGCATTATATGCACAATGACAGTACCTGTAAAAAACCATGCTTGCAGTCATTGCAATGCTAAATGCTAGTCGCTGCCCCTCGATGCACGGAGTGCTGGAAGCCCTGTGAATTTCACGGTTCCCTTTCGGTTCTTCATTTTCCCGGCCAATTCAAAGAAGGATCCATGTGACAAAAGCAAACAGCCCCTGAGCAACTTTGGGTGAAGCTTGTGTGCGTCCACGTGTCTGGTTGTTTGCAGCTTCTTGGCATCGCGTTTTGCTTTATTCAATTTTCCACGATCCTTGGGTCAGAAGAAGAACCTGCATATCAGTTCAATAAGTCCGGGATGCCGTTTGCAGCCGAGATACGGGGCCTGCAAGGAGGGTGGGCTAATTCGACCACCATATTGTTGGTTTAGGGCATTCGCCACCATGCAATGCCATCCAGAATCGAATCTTGAAAATCTTAGCAAAAAGAAAGTTAAGACCCAAGCACACACACACACACACACATCAATCGAGCCATGTCAATCGAAGGTTCAAAGAAGACAGAGTTGGCCAGATCCTCAAACCGTGCGTGGCGGGCAAAAACGTACTCCGAGCCAGCCGGCTGCTCATATCATGGCCACCAAGCATACCCTGAGGTTCAACCAGGCAATAGGGATCCCTATACACTTTGTGGTGCGCGGGTTCATGTTACTTGCTCACAAGAAACCGGCTGACCATGCAAGTCCCCTCGCGATCACAGACGAGCTAGAGCAGCGGGTGTCTGAATCTTCCCATTTGACAAGTCGTGTTGCAACATTTTCAAGGGTCTCTCAATCCAAGAAGCAGCTTGAAGGCGCATCGCCCTCCTGCGAATCTCCGGGACCTGCTCCCACTCGTTGGCCAGCCGTGTTGCCATGGCAGCCGAGGGACCAGAAGCAGTGGGTTAACCTGCAAGCATGCCCTTGCCAGCCATGCACCTGTGAGTAGTCCTAGTGACCGCCAATCCTATGCCGTGCCATGTGCGCCAAAGTTTGAGCAGCTCTACCACAGCGCCGTGCGTGCACACACTAGTTGGTCCATGGATGGAGCGAATTGTGTCCTGCTTAGGGGCCACCAGTTTAACTGGCCAGGTTCTTTTTCTGTGGGTTTCCATGGGGCCCTCAAAAGAAGACACGCCTATTTATGCAAGCATGCAGGCAAACTGAGGCGCCAGGCAGCTTCGAAAGCCATTGCCATATGCACATTCCAAATTCATGGCGCGGTATGTATGTCACGCTGCTTGTCGCTACCCTACGGCTGCGTGACCTCATACTAATGCTCTGTCGACATGGATTTTGATCGAATCAAACCGCGTCCCTCCACCATTGTTTTGATAGAGGTACCTGGGTTTGGTTCTCAAAAGTTGCCCTGGCCATTGAAACTGCCACTTATGGATGGTCCAACGAATTGATCGAGGGTTTCAACATGTTTGAAAGACACCTCCCCTGCCGAGCCAAGGAGGCGGATCCAAGCAAGGCAAGGCGAGGCTCCGGTCTGGCCGCCTGGCCTGCGGGGATGGAGATGGATGGATGGGTGGGTGGATGGGATGTGGATCCCTACTTGGCGACTCAAGAGTAACCATGTTCAGAAATCTGTTTCAGCCACATGTGCCCTCCAAATGGTTTAGAAAAGGGTTCCAGCCAATTTAGAATGCATTGAAAACTAGGAGTGGTAAGTGAAAACTGGGAGTGCACCTTGAAAGCTAGGAGCGATAGTTAAAAACCAGGAGTAATGACCCCAAAAACTGGGAGGATTAAGTCTCCGTGTTTTTTCTCGGAGGTTTCCCTAAAAGCAGTCGCTTCCTTAAAAACCGTTTTTTGTTTTTGTGAGGAGGGTGGTGCAGGTATATATATTTATATATATTATATATATATATTTATAAAAAGAGGAAAACAAAAACCATGAAAAACAAACAGAAAAAAAGAAGAAAACAAGCGAACCCGCCGCTTCATGGAGAGGACACCCCCGGTGCCTATCTATCTCCGTCCCTATCTCGCCGCGGTGCACTTTTTCTTTTTTGGGCCGGGCCCAAGCGCTCCAGGACTGCCCGAAGCTCCGGGGGCAAGGGCGCTTCGATGGAGAGCTCTTGCTCGTTCCAGTCCAGCAACCTGCACCAAGATACTGATGGACAAAATCCATTTCGCACCACTTTGAACCCATGGGAAACCATTGCTTGTTGGTTTTTACAGGGGAGTCATCATTCCACGGCTTCTTCTGTGGTGCAGGATTTCGTCCATCCACAGTAGGTCTCACATTCTGGTGCTAGCGGGAAGCCAGATTCTGGTCTCTTGCTCTCGGTGTCCCAATGTCACATTCTGGTGATAACCAGGAGGCTCGTTGCATTCCCGGTGGAGGGAAAGTAGTTCACGATTTTGCTTTGCAGCGTCCAGAGGCCAAATTCTAGATGAAGACAAGTTGGGCGGGGTCTTGGACCGAATAGTTCAATTGGGATGAAACCAAAACCAGTTGAACTTGTGCCATCTTCACTCAATCGAGGCCACCGAAGCTATATGGACAAAGTTTCACGGGATAAGCGGCCATCAAGAAAAAGCGACTGATAATACTGATGCAAAGAGTAGAAAACCGTTTCTGGGGTCGTAGGGGTAGTGGAAGCCATCCTAACAGTTGGCTTTCATGAATCTGTGGCGTGCGCTTGGTGCCCCGACCCGCTCGCTCATGAGATTCGTGTGTTCCAGAAGGCATGTCATTTCCATGTCACAAACTGAAGCAAAGGAGGCCCCAGGTAGGGAACCTTCATTATGGCTTGGTTGCTGACCCCTCTGTGGCCAATGGAAATCCACGGTCTCCCAAAAAGTTAAAGCCCAAAGATCCAACCAACTGGCCATAAAAATGAGCTCATCTTTTTCCCAAGTCTTAAGATGTCTTTGCCCTCCTACAGCCCCAACGCCTCAAGCAGTGGCAGTGGAGGAACAGTCGAGGGCACCACTCCGCCATCACGCCATACTGCCCTCAGGTGCCCAAAAGCAGAAACCGCCTGCCCTCTTACTATGACCTACACCCTCATGATTCACCCATATTGATCACGCCGTTGCCGCAGGCGAGTGAGGGCTTCACGCAGTGCTGCGGGAAAATTCAGCCGCAACCGATGAAGAAATACAAACGCGCCCAAACTCGAACAAACTCGGCGACTGCTAAACCACCGGCAAGCTGCAGTCGCCCACCAAAGGAAGGCCAATGCTGGCCAGGTGGACTCTGATCTGATGCATTCCTGTCCGGCGCATGCCCTCCACAAACGCGCGTGAGCATGGGCAATGCCCGAAGGTCCCATGCTTGGGGGAATGGACACACGCGACTCCTGGGATCCAGGATTCTTCGCCTTGCTTCTTGGCTCAGAACCTTGTTTGGGATGTGGCCTTTGTCTTTCCAAAAGCGCAAGTCCTGCAAAGCTCTTGCCACAAGCTGCCTCTGCAATATGCGTGCACGACATAGCACTGAAAACCAAGTTCTTGGAAGCCAAGCGTCTTCCCGTTTTGGGCTCCGCCCGGATTAAGTGGACGGCTTCTGTCCCGTTCCCGCTTTCTTGCGGCGGCCGGAAGATCTCGAGCACCTCCCAAGGATTGGGGAGTTCGCTGTTTAAACAACCCTGTAGCTGTTTAAAGCTGCTTAAACTGTTTAAACACGTAAAGGCAACCAACCTTGCTCCAACCTACCCCGTTTATGTCTGAATTGAATCCCGCCTCCCACACCGTGCAGGCCTCGCGCCCTTGCTGGTGCACCGAGGTACGCACGGGTTTCTCATCGCCAGTGCGGAGCGGCAAAGAGATGGTCTGCTGCGAGGTGGCAGAAACCTGAGCCGAGGTGAACCGATGGCGCTTGGCCGCCTGTGTACTTCCCCCTTGCCCTCCCCCCAGAAGAAAGACAAAGGAAGGAAGAATGCTTCTCCACCCTTAGGCCCCCCCTCAACAAAAAAGAAGATTGCGTCTGACTCTTGAGCTGAAAGCTTCATGCAACTGGCACAGGCTACAGCTTCCACGTGCTGCTGTGTCGTATCCCGCTCGCGAGTCCTGCCAAGGCACCTCCTCACCGCGGCAAAGGCAAAGGTACTCCTTCTGCACCAATCGGCCGGCAAACTGCGACTTGAACCACTTTGCAGTGGACATCACCTCGTCCCGGGAGTGATAAACCCACCTACCGACCGAAGAAGTTCTCTCAGCTTCCTTCCCAAAATCTGGGAACCAAACAACCTGAAGGCCGTACTTGGACGAAACCCGAGGTTTTGGGGCTGGGTGGGGGGGTTGGGGGTGGGCCCGGGTTGATATCGGAGGGCCTCCGAGCCAATCACCACCGGCAGCACTCCGGAGGTCGGAACGTCCAGCCGCGATAAGGTCGTGGTGGGTAACTTCAAGCGCCGCGAAAGTGCCGAGATCCTTGGAGAGAGGCTTCGGGAGGGGGTTTCCCCAGCCTTGAGGTTTGTCGGTGGGTTCCAGGGAGATCCGTATGGGGATTCAGCCGGAGAGAAATCCCCCCGGAAGGTTTGCTGTCATTGCCGCTGTGCGCATGTTCCCCTTCAGCTCGCAGAAAGTGGCAAACCCCGAGCTTCCGATGGGTCCATCATCGCGGCATCCGCCAAATTGCGAATCCCACTTACCAGCCAGGAAAAAAAACAAAAAGGTCGTCCAATGACCAAAATCCCAAGGACGCTCCAAAAATGAACACTTCCCCATTCCTCAATTTGCTGAAGTCACCTGGAAACAATAACAATATGTCCAGTAGTGATAGGCCACTTTCAAAACCCAAAGGGGGAAATAAACAAAACAAAAACAAATACTACTCAGCATTTGGAAGCATGTGTTTCCACACCCCAAACAATCCCCGAAGAAAAAAAAATGAGCTTTCGGGGTCCGAAGGCTAGATGCCTTCGAGCTGCACATCCTCCGTGAGCGCCCCGCTGGGTTTGTTGACGGCCACCAGGCCAGGGGAAGTGGAAATCACCGGCGCGCACGGCAGCTCCAGCCCAGAAGCTGATTTCGCCTCCTCCTGGGCACTTCATCTCAGAACCTTTTTATAATATGGCTGTGGGGCAACATCAAACCACCAAGAAAGCCGCTGGTTTTAGTCTTCTTCTTTTTTTCTCGGGGTTCCATCTTGGGTACCTATTTTTGACCCACAGCCATATGTTTGGACGCTGTAATAATGTTGCTTTCTGCTCCCCTGCTAAAAGTTTAACTGTTAGTGGTTTAATGGGGAAAACCCATTAGTTGGCAAAAAGTTAAAGTCCTAACATCCAAGCAACATGTACCAAAGAATATGTGATTAGAGGCTTCATCTCAGCATGTTAGATAGTTGAAGGCTGCTGTTTTTTCTGCCAGTTCCGCGCTGTCATGGTGTCATTGAGGTCTTGTAAAAAGTTGCATGGATCAATCACATTCCTCGCCTTCCTCAAACCACCCCCAAACCAAAACCATTTGCACCCCCCCCCCCAAAAAAAAAAAAAAAGTTTTCCCCGCCCCGTTTTCCGGCCCGGTTGACCCCCAAAAAAACCGCCCAAGCCGGGCCGGCACCATGACAACACGAAACTGGCAGAAGAGCAGCAGCTAACTCTCCGTAAAGCCACAACTGTTCACCCCATCTCAACCAAAACATCACCCCTTCGCCAGAAGGAAAGGTTCACAACATTGAAACGTCGAATCGAAATTCGTCTCCTGCGGCCAGGTCTGCCTCAAGCGCCGCAGCTCGAGGAAGGCCTCCTTCGCGCCTCTGGCCCTCTGCACCGCGCCCAGGAAGCAGCCCACGTGCATGCCATCCGCGTGAAGCCGCCGCCTCGGGTGTGGAACGAAACCCTGGGTCCGCTTTTTGGGGAAACCGAAAATGAAGTTGTTGCATTTAAGTATTTAAACAAGGGGGGTGGACACCCTGTGCTTCATAGCATAAACCTAAAAGGGAAGTTGGTTAAACAAGGAGTTGAATCGCTCAGCAGGGAAGAGTTCCCCGCCCTTTCTTCGTGGATCCCCCTTCCGAAGAACGAGAAAAGCGTTCTGCTGGCGGTCTGGGTCAAATGAAGTCAGCCGAAACATTTTGAGCGTGGCTCCATGATTGAATTGAAACCAAGGGCCCGACATGGCTCGACCAAATCGATGGCGTTCCCTAGACCCCTAGACCCAAAAGAGCTGATGTGACATGCAGGTAACCTTGCTTGCTAAGCTGAGTAGGTAGCTTTGAGCGCAGCGCGGAAGGTGCTCTCGGCTGTGGCACGTGGAAAGGATCTCTTGTCACCTCTGTGACCTCTAGCGGGTTTGTCACAATTGAGGGCCCTTTTTGGTATGAACCTTGAGCGGCACCAGGGTCCCCACAGCAGCCGGCCACATTGTTTAGACACGCGACTGGAGAATTGCGAACTGTCGCATTCTGATCTTCCGTGGCTCAACATTGACTGAAATGCATGGACCGGCAAGACGCCAGTAGCCATTTCATGTCAAGGGACGCGTGGACACGTAACCAGGCGGAACAACCCCCCAGAAAAGGTCGTGTCCCTTTTGGCTGTTTGAACACGCCCCTGTTTCGGGGCGCACGTTCTCAAATGACAGACTGCAGGCACTTCCTTTGGGAGGGCACCGCTCGCCCCGAAAAGTCTCAGAACCACGCCCATCTGGCTTTGTATGCTTTTAAAAAAACATCCTGTAAAAGCAGTGAGGTGTTTTTTTTTTGTGTCAAGGGATTTCCGCAAGATCTTTAGTCGCATATTTTGGCACATGCCTATCTGCACTTCCAGAATTTGGAAGCATTCCCAGGGCTCTTCTTGGGTTTCGCGAGCGATCCCGCGAAAAGCTCCTTGAGTAAGCTTCAACCTCCAAGCAAGTCGTCCCCAACCCGAAAAAGGCCCCCCCCAAAAAAAGAACAACAAAGAAGACAGCTGGGCTCCTGAAAGGCCTGTCCCACCGGTCGGTTCCCCGAACCCCGCGTGCGACGCGTCGATCGAGGCGCCCATCGATCTGCCGCAGCAAGCTCCGGGCCTCCGCCCAGCGCCCGGCCAAGTGGCAGGCGCTCAAGGCCGAGCTGAAGGTGAAGATGTCCTCGAGGCGTCTTTCGGGTTTTCAGAACGACCAACTTCCCCATGGGCCACAAAGAGTAACCAAACCGTTGTGCGTTTACCACTAAAATGGGGGGGGGGGGGATCTTTCAACTGCCAACTGGAGGGTAACAATATAAGAAGGAGTTGGGGTGGGGTGCTGTTAGTGGTACCCTGATTTTTCTTTAAGCGAAGACTTGATACTTTTCGGGTTTGGGCCATTTTATAGTGGTAAAGAAAAACAGTTTGGTTAGTTTTCCTTGGTCTTCCAAAAAAACATTCTTGGCTCCACATGGAAATTCAGCCAAAGGCCTGCTTTTCCAAGGTCCTGGAAGATCAAGGTCTTTGTGGCCCACTTGCTACTGATTTGAACGGGCGAGTCTCAAAATGGATGTCCTCTTTGCAGGATCCTGTCTTGTTGGCTGAAGGATACTAAAGGGAACACACCAATTGCGCGGGAAACCCACAACTTAGTTAGCCGTGCCAAAGGCAAACACGCACCACACCCGAGGAAGAAATGAAGCAAAGAAACTTGGCAAAAAAAGGAAAGCAGCAAATCAATCAGCCAATCAGCCAACTAGGCAAAACAAGGCCCTCAAAGCCGCAATACAAACCCCACAAAATAAATCTCAAGGTGCGAACAGGGAACAACAAACTCAACCCCAACCCCTACTGAAACCAAAAAAAAGACACAACCTCCCCCTCCTCGTGAACCCACCAACCAAAAAACAAAAAAATGCCCCGATTCCCCCCCCCCTCCCCGGAAAAAAAAGAAAAAAAAGAAGAAAAAAACGAGAAAAAACATAAACAAAAAGAAACATGAACAAACAAGCATAAAAACAACTCATGAACATACTACATCTTGTTGAGACCAACCAAAACCGGGGCGAAACCGCTTCGCCCAACTTCGCTTCGCCCAGGTCTCCGGCGCGTCCATGGCCGCCAGGACTTCCAGGGCCTCAGCCCAGTGGCCGGCCGCGGCGAAGCAACTGATGGCCGCGGTGCAGGCCACCGTGTCTTTGCACAGGACCCGCCGGTCCTCGGCCGCTCGGCTCGGACGGCGGAAGGTCTGGACAGCGAATCTAGGGGGTGATTCCTTGTCCATTCTTCTCGACCATCGTTCTGAACCCACAAACCGGATCCCCGTTTTCTCTGGGTTTCCGGAGGTTTTCTAGAAAGAATGATCCCTGGAAAGAATCTGAGGCGAATCTGTGGATCCACCAACCTCCTGGGCCAGGCACTTCATCTCAGAACCTTTTATAATGAGGTTGCTTTCTGCTCCCCTGCTAAGAGCTTTCAACTTCTAGTGGTTTGATGGGGAAAACCCATCAGTGGGCAAAGGGTTAAAGCCCGAACACCCAAGCAAAATGCACCTCTGTGAAGGTCGGGAAAACGCGGGGTTTGAGGTGAGGCCAAGCTGTGGATCCACAGATCCAAGAAATGAAGAAAAAAGAGGAGCAACAGGGGGAAGAACCGGTGAAATCCCGCAAAAAGCGCATCCAAACCGTTTTCTAGAATCGGGATACGTCATCCCCCGAAGCCCCAGCTTAGATGTGCAAAATGTTCTAGAAATTGGCTGGTAAGTCATTTAATGTGTTTGGGGGTAAATTCCCTAGAATCTGGTTGGTGCGCAACTGCAGGTGAAAGCTTGAAAAAGACGGCCAGCCATCCGTCAATGTGCTTTGAACACCGCTCATGTTGCCCCGATTCAGTCTGGGAATGGGCCAGTTGGTACGCGTTGACTGGCAGTAAGGTTCACGACAACGCCATTAATTTCCGCCGATCCCAGTTGGTTTATCAACCAGGATTCATAGAGCTTCATCCACCCCAAGTGGTGCCGGATTTTGTCCACTCACACCAGGATGAATGGATCCGTTTAGATATGAACACCTGGTATGATACCTAGTTTGCGAGTCAGTCTAACTCCCAGAAAAAATGATGCAAATATCATTCAACATCATCGCCTTACCCCCGATTGCTTTTGGGACCAGTTGTTTGTTTTTGCGAATGCAGGTGCAGCATGGTTGATTCGCAACCTCAAGGCCTCGATTTGCAAGCCGGGCCCCATGAAGGTTCCAAGTCCGGGAGGGCATTATTTCAGTGAAGTGGTCCTGACCGTTAAGCACCCTGACAATGGGAAACACTCCCATTCGGCGCAACATCCTTATTTTGCTTAGACATGCTTTGCTCTTCTGGGCCTTGTTGCATCCTGTTTTCACTCCAGGGGAGCCATTTGAGTTCGATGTGTGTGACGAACCCCGAGCATTCAGACTCGGTAGATTGACATGGAGTGATATGGGATGCTTGCACACCATTAAAACAAATCCCGGTCCACTTTGAGCGGGCCACGGCCATGACAGACAAAAAAGAGCATTGATCATGGGACATATATGTATACAATGGCTTCCGGACTCCGTCCCAACACCTGACAGTGGTTTGGACGATGGTCAGCTTCTCTTCTTCGCGGGGGGCCGCCACCCCAAAAGCAACCCCTTTGAGGAAAACTTAAATCGGCCGAGCCAGAAAGTGTGCGCTTTGGGTTTCATGCCGAATATGTACAGTTCTTCGGGCTGAAAAAGCAGGATGAAAATCCTAGGTCGATCCACGGGGAGCGGTCCTAACTCCTTTCCCCTAAGCAACGCCTTAATAGGATGCTAATCATGCGTGAGTTAGGAGAAGTAAGCCAAATAGCCAAAGGTCACATCACAAGTGAGAATCCCGTCCTTCTCAAGCAAAGGGGGGCCCGAAAAAATGATCCGAAGCTTCTTCCAAAAAACAACCCTAGGTCGATTAGTAGGCGAGTCGTCCCAGGTTTTGACCAGAGGGCTGTCCAAAAGGTTGTTTTGTCGAAATCCTCGTGTGTAGTCTGCCGATTTGCGAGCTCACCTGGAGGCAAAATGAGCTCACCTTGATGAAGGTGTGCTTCACTTGGCGACACGAAAATGATACGAAAATGGATCTTTGTAAATGGATTTTGTGTTTCGTAGGAGCCCCTTCAGTTTTTTGCCGGTTTCTCGCCTCAGTAAGAGCTTTCCGGCGCCTTGACTTTTGCGTGACACGCCCCTCTTCGAGGCTCGCCCATTTTGAGGCTCCCCATTTGGAGACAGAAGCTCACCCGCGTCCACCGTCGCACTTGAGCACTTGGGCCGGGTTTTTTCTTCGTTTCTCAGCACAGGTTGTTCCCGGGCTGGCTGGGCACCAGGTCGTTTCCAGATATGGCTGGCATGCATTCCATGCTGTGCCGACTGGCCCGTATCCATACTAGCCGTGTTTTTTTTTTTGTTTTTTTTTTTTTGAGTTGGCGCCTCCTACAAGCAAAACCCGCCACCTGAAGGGCCCTCTTGCTGGGGCCCTTCTTTCCCGCGAGCCCCTCAAAAGCTTCCAAGAAAATGCATCCCCCTTTGTTGAAACTCAAACCCGGGGTCCTTTTCCTTCCATGCATCTAGATGCAGGACGGCTGCAACTAAGCAAAATGCTTCGGCGCCTGTTTTGAAAAGGGCCACCATCGAAATCTGTGTGACTAGTTCGATTGTGGACAGCCTTATTGCATGGAATCCAGGTTTCTTTCGGGCTCCTGAAGAAACCAAAAGGGCAACTAGAAAAAAAAAGGACCCGCTTGTGAATGGCATCGCAAGGGAATCCCAAAAGGGAACCACCCGATTCGAGAATCGAGGGGAAACTGCTTTATGATCCCAATAGATGATAGTCCCATTCAAGGGCCCAAAATGGCTGGGGGGCCAAAGATGGGATGCCCCAAACGTTCCGCCCCGACTTCCACCCCGCTCTTTCAACTTCGGCGCCATCTCCCGCAGCAGCTGCTGCGCGGTGCGCCACTGCGCACTGCGGGCCGTGGCGGCGATGGCGGCGCTGAAGGGCACCGTGTCCAGCTGGAGAGCGCCTCAAAGAAATTCTCACTTGGCCAAAGGAGTTGGAAATAAAAGGTTAACCTTTTGGCACCTCTACTAAAAATGGACTAAAATTGGAAAACAGAAAGGTCAAAAGGTTGGCTTTGGGCAACTGAGGATTTGGCCGTGGGTCAAAAGCCAAATCGTGCCCCTTCGGTGAACATCCCAATGCAACCACTAAAATAGGTTCTAACATGCGTGGTGAATTCACCTACCCCAAGTAGTACCAGTGGTTTTGACCCACAGCCATTTCATTCACTGCCAGCACCCCCCAATGGCGGGCAACTGGCCCCCAAAACAAGGCATTAAGAGGTCGCTTAACAGACTAGTGAGGTTGGTTTTGCGCGGCATCATGGAGAGAAGATACTACAGTAAAACTAAAACTTATTCAAGTTTCATTATGTGGACATAGGGGGACTTTTGACTTTACTCACGTTCAGGTTTGCGTAGGCGTTTCTATCACCTAACGTGGCCAATAGGGACTTTGGGCGAACTCACATATCACAGGAGAAACCAATTGACTAATTTGTTTAGCCTTGGTTGATAGGGGGGTGTAACCCATTTTCAGAGGGGATCTTTTTCACTTTTTGGAGAATCCGGATCGACACGACCCCAAACCACTGCGGTTGGGTGAAAGTAGCTGGCGCGACCTTGAGGTTTGCCATCTCCTTTCCGAACGGAGCCTTTCGGATTGCCAGAGCTTCGGATTGCACTTTTCTCTTAGGCCTTGGCACTGGCCCAAAGGCCGGCCACCCGCGCATCAGCATGAGACGAAATGTGCGTAAAGACACGGAGGGCACGATGGGAGTCAGTTTGGGATGTGTGCACCTATCACACTGACATACCCTAACCAGCACCAGCGCCCAAACACACCAGCCACCAGGACCACACCTGACTGCAGCACCGCCAGTTGCCACCAGCGCCCTGACCAGCACCCGCCCGATTTCGCTCAACATTCCAGCTATTGCAAAGAAAACATGCCCCCCTATGCGGCAGCTTTTTGGTGGCCATACTCCCTTAGGGCACATTGGCATGCGGGCGTTTTTTTCTGCAATCAAGGACCCAAAGCGTTTTCCTTCCTCCCTTCCTCTTACAAGAATCCCACCAAAAACGGAGCCAGAATATTAAAAAGCAACCTGGGCTGCCCTCAGATCCCCCGCTAAAAGTTCAACTTGTGGTTCCTTAAATGGCAACTGCCACCAAAAACTAAAAACTCAAAAGCTGAGGAACCGGATGGCTGGGAGCCAAGCAACCCTATTGTGATGACACGTTTGTGGCTGCATGATCCGGGGCGCGGAGCAGGAAGCCGTCCAGCACGGCGCAGGCGGCCTGCCATTGACCCGCCTTCTCGCAGGCGGAGATGGCGGCACCCACGGAGATAGAGCTCAGCTCGAGGCCGCTGCTCTCGATCCTTTGCTTCGACTTTCGGGGAGTTCTGCAACCCCAAGATCGGCTTGTTTTGTTTTTAATATTATTATTATTATTATTCTGTTGGTGGGCTTTTCTTTTGGAAATCGGTGTGTTTCTCGTTTTTTGTTTGTTTGTTTTTTGATTTGTGCTTCTTCTTCTTCTTCTTTTTTTTTGGGGGGGAAGGGACTGTTTCCCAACGCAAAAGTTTGGCTGGGTGCCTTCAAGGGGAGACCCTTTCGAGCCACCAATCCAGTTGAAATATGACTTCGCATGGGATTGACCCCAAAAAAAACAAGGGGAAGAGGCAGGGACGAGTTGGCCGCTCCCCGAGAGTTTTTGGGTTGGACGACATTTGGTCCCACGTGCGTGAGGAAAGGGGTCTGACATTCGGCACGCGCCTAGCCTCTAAGCCTCTTTAGGTGCACAAGCATCAAAGCTTGTAAGCCTCACTCCTCCAAGCCTCCAAGCCTTCCAGCCTTCCAGCCTCCGAGCCTTTGAGCCAAGTTGAACCTAGCCGAGCCTCCGTGCCTCCCAGTCTTCTATCCATGGCGAGAAGCGTAGACCCTAAGCCCTGAACCCTGAAACCTGGAGGCTTACGCGCTTAGAGGCTTAAAGGCTTGGAGGCTGGTGTTGAAATAGCCAGACCTGCCTTATAGTCTGCCCTCTTACTTTTCAAAAACGAGCTCGACCACCATTTTTCGGCCAACATTTAAACAAAGGGGTGATTTTATTCAATTAGGAGTCGAGGAGGAAGCAAAGCAAAGCATCCAAGGTTAGTCTCCAAGTGAGTCTGTTCAGGTTGACATTGCCGGGTGAGTAAGGCTTTGTCTAGGGCCGACCCCTGAAATGAATGATATAGTTCCTCTTGCCTTCCCTTGTCAAGGACCCTGAGACTACCGAGCCTCAAAAAAAACCGCGGGGTTCCCGGCATCCCCCCACAAAAGAAAGCATGAAAAAACCACAAGAAAAATAGGGCTCCCCCCTCCCCTGCCCCCGCCCCCGCCCCCCCCAAGAAAAAACAAAAGAAAGAAGATGCAAGAAGACCAAAAACAAAACAAAAAACGAACAAAAAGACCCACGCCGTCTGACGGTAGCCCAGGCGCTGGCTCAGCAGGGCGAGGGCCACCTGCCATCGGCCCCCGGCCTTCTCGCAGGCGGAGATCCCCGCGGACCAGGCGATGACGTCCCGGCCCAGGCCCTGCGCTGGGAGCGCTCGACCCCGTCGCTTTCTGCTCCCCTGCTGAAGGCTTTTGACTGCTCCCCTGCGGAAGGTTTTTCAATTTTGGTGGTTTTACGGGAAACCCCCTTCGTTGGCAAAAAGGCGGACCCTGCTAAAGGTTTAACTTGCTTCTTCCTACATTAAGGCGACCCAGATCAAAGTGGTACGGGATGTGCTTGCATGAGGTTGGTGAATGATAAGCTCGGCCAAACCTCAATTAGTGGTTTCATGGAAAACCCGTCCGTTGGAAAACACAAACAGTTGAAGTGCTAACATCCAAGCAAAATGCACCAAAATGCACCAAAGTCTACTCACGTCTGACCGGGCGGATTGATTCGCCAGACATTGCATTCATGTCCACCCAAACTGGGGGTCCCATCTCACGGCCGGAGTGAAGAAGCTTACGCATGTGTCCAGATATGTCCAAACAGTTTAAAGTCCAGGAACTCAGGGAGTGAGTTTGTGATGTTGGAGCTATTTGGCGGCGGTGGTCAAAAATAGATGGTAACCCCAAAATGGCAAGCGCTTGATCGGGAAATGGAAACAAGAATAAAAATCCTGCGCTCCAATTCCTGGTGGTTTAATTTGGCCCATGAGCTATTCAATCACTCCCGATTGAGTAGATTCGCCAGAAAAGTCAACCAAACTTGTGGTGTACCACTAAAATGGCCCAAACTAGTCCAAACCCAAAAGTGACTAAAGTTCGAAACAGAACTCAGGGAGTCAACGGGAATAAACCTTTGAAAATTTATTGGAGCGCTGCTCTAGCGAAGTCATTTAACTGCGCCTGACTCATCCGTTGAAAGGCTGAGACCTCAGGTCATAGGTGGCCTTTTGGAAAAATAGATGGCCCTGGTAAATGGAACAAAACCCATCTAAACCAGTGGAACCCATCCATTTCTTACAAAAGTAACCTGAAAAGGACGCCTATGCCTCAAATGTCCCTCTTGACCTTGGTGCGGGGCTTTACGAGCACCCGTGCGACGGGGGCTTGGGGCTGCGCGAGAACTTTGCGCCTCGCTTGCTCCGATGACGCTCGGTGTGTCGGAAGGTTTCTAGGGACTCTGCCTGGGAAAAGGCAGCCTAGCCCAAGGTGCAAAGGCGCACACATGCCAGCAGCACGCGCAAAGGCCTGGCAAAGATCGTGTCGAGACCGAGACTGGCAAGGGTGAAGAGAGAATTTCTGAAATGCGACTTACAAAGCGGAGTCTGGATCCAAATCGGATCCGAAATTTTAGCAGGTTCTTGAGCTTGTGCGCTTCACTCGGAAGCCGTGGCGCGCACTCGGGAAAAGCCTTCCACATCGTCAAGCAGAAGGATGGGCTGACACTTCACGGCCTGGATCCCGTTCTGGCTGCCGCGCAAGGAATCCAAAGAGAAAGGACCCTCCTTAAGATTGGATGGGTTCGGACAGTGTGGTTGGTGCAAAAACTCTGAGATTTCACAGCTGAACAAGAATGATACCCATTTGGCACATTTTCACGCAAGCTGCGCAATAGGGCCAGGCACTGCCGGCCTTGCAACTCTCTTGGCACATCGAGCGCGTGGTTTGGTCCGTTGGTGCAGGACCATCCAGCGGTTGCATGTTTTGGACATCACCTTCGGGTCAAAGAGGTTTCTCTTATTGATGTGCTAGTTCAAGGGAACATAAACGTTATTTAAAACGCGGTGTGGTCAAGAACAAGCCCACTTCACGAATTGCCTGTCCAGGCAAAGCAAGTGGTTGAGGGACGAAGGGTGCAGCGGTCGGGACCGCCATGCACGGCAAACCGAGGATTGCCTCGTGCGGCCGCGGGACGTGGGGGACGTGGGGGACGTGCGGGACGTGCGGGACGTGCGGGACGTGCGGGACGTGGGGGACGTGGGGGACGTGGGGGACGTGCGGGACGTGGGGGACGTGCGCGCTGCCGGCGCGCCCGGCGGGCAATTAAGGGCAAACCTGGCACTGCAGCACCGCGGACTGCGGACTGGCAAAGCCACGGCAACACAGATGGGCACTCGGAGTCCGCCAGCTGAAAAGCTGACAACTCAGGCATGCATGTGAGCCTCGGGGCCACGCCGACTAGTCCGCTGGCAGCTCGCGACAAAACGAAGACACAAGTGCAATCGGGATACCAACTGAGCAATACCAGAAAGCTGCATGCACCCGGCAAGGTTCTGAGGGTGCTTTGCTGCAAGCCGCGCACGTCCCCGCAACTGTTGCAGCTGTGTGTTGGGGGCTGGCAGGCACACAGCCTGAAGATGTCACGGCAGTGTGTTCTATCATACCCGTGGACCTGCAACAAACATTGCGCCTCTGCAGCAACGAAAGCTCAGCAAAGCAATGTTCAAAGGAGTAATGCCCTTATCGCAAACACAACACCCTTGTAGCTGCTTGACAGGCCACCGTCAGACAGGGACCTGCAACATGTTGAACACAACAGGCTGCAAGACACACACGATGCACATGTCAGGCTGGCTCAGCAGAGCTTGACGGTTTATGCGGCAGCTGACCTGGGGACTGCGCGGCACACAATGCGCGGTCTTGTCCTGCCAGCGCTTTTACTCCTGACGCCCTGCAAGTGACACTGCACCCCTTCAGAGAAAGCATTGTGACTCCAGGCTTCCAAGGAATATGTCCGGTGCACCCCCTGAAATGCACGACACTTGTGGCTGGTTTGCCCCATTGCGGCGCTGGCAGTGTTCACGCTCGGCGGTTGGCGTTCTGGACAACTGGAGCTGGGGAGCTCTGTTGCGCAGCAAATCGATATCCAAACGGAAAGCTGGAAACTGGAATCGCAGAAAGTCTCCCTGCCCGAAGTCGCAGAGCTCTGGATTGGTCAATTCTAGTGAGCTGGCCTGACCCGAAAGCCTCGAGCAACATCCCTGAGCCAACATTCAACCTGCAGGCTCCTGACGGACCGCCTGGGCCGGGGCTTGTGAGATCTGATTTTGAGCTCCAAACCCCGGGCGTGGTGCAAGTCACAACGTCTCTGAAGCAAGCGCGAGACCAGGGACATGTCCGTCATCACTTTAGACAGAAATCTTCCAGGCGTTTGCATGAGCTGCCGGAATGGCTCTCAGACTGGCTTGTGCGGGACCTGCACTGCATCGCGGGATCGCGGGGGGATCGGGGGCGATAGCTGGCGACTGGAAGGTGGGGGGTGCGACAGGAAGGGAAGGAGGTTCAAAGAGTCGGGGTTTTGATCTCTTGCTGCCAGAGATGCAGGGAATGAGAGTTGGAATGAGCCTTCTAAATCATCCAACTGGTGGTTTCCTTTGAGGGGACTCCTGGGTTACTGAGCACCAGCAAGTTTAGGAATGAACCTGTTTTGGGTTGATTCCTGAATAAAGGAAACCACATCGGGTATGCTGTGTTTGTTTCGGGGTCATTCCAATTCTCATTGCTTTGGGGGCTCATTTCTTCTCACCATGGTTGATATCTTGCAATCTTGCCTCAGTGGTTGCTTCGCGGCCAGACAAATGTGTCTTTGCTTGCGAGCAAAGTGGGTCGGCAGCGATGGATGCATTGCAAAGGCGCGAAGGTCTGCGTCCATGCCACCCCCGGCTCGATGGGCTGGCCTCCAGCTCCATGGCCTCCAGCAGCGCCATGGCCGCCTCCCACTGCCCCGCTTTCTCGCAGGCCGTGATCGCGGCGCTGAAGCCTCGGCGTGCGTCGCACTCGCGGGCGACTCGCGTCCGTGCATGACACTAGCAGCCATGGGGGGAGGAGGGGGGCAATGTATAAAGGAGGGTGGGAATTTTGAGGGTTCCTCTTTCAAGTTTCAAGGTTGAAATTAAACAAGCATGGGGGGGGGGCATTCTATTTAAACCCCAGCTCCTATCGACCTAAAGCTCGCTTTCCGTCATTTTAGAGAGAGACCCCCAAACCTGAAATAAGTCTTGGATCCCCAAGTAAAGGATGTGTCCCTCGCAAACATCACCCGAAGAGAAAACTCCTAAAGTGGCCAAGCTCATGTTTATGTGGGCTGCAAAGGGAAGTATACAAACCCCTACAATCATCAGAAAGCGGGGACAGGTACTTTGCGGATAGACAAATGGCTCAGTCTGATGTTCTACTGCCATCCTTCACCTTGCTCATACATGTATCCCAGGATCAACCAGCCTTGTGGACAATAACACTTTCTGTGAGACCAAGCGGGCATTCCCATGACGCGACTATTCTTTTCATCCCTTATCATGGAAGCTGACCCAAATGGCCGATTTTCGGCCACCACAGGACAAACTGCCTTTGAGACTGGCATCCATTGGTATCCAGAAACACATGGTTCCCTCAAATCCTTTGTTATAGCTGGGCATGCCAAACACAGATGCAAATCAAGGCGAGAACCCGGCGCTTGTCCAAACTAGACCCATAACAGCAGACCCCCGGACCAAACAGCCCTGCCCAAGAAACAGCCTCAAACGGCTTAGGAAAGTCTTCGCTTCAATTCGCAACCCTTCCAAGAACCTCAGATCCTATCCCTAACTTTTTGCGGACTGGGGAGGGGCCTAAATCCCAGGTCTCTCCAAAAAAAAACGTTAATTCCGCAGCCCCTCCCACCGGCCCACCAGCTTCGGGCTCCTCCGGGCTCCTTCGAGGCGCTGATGGTGTCGCGCTGCAGGCGCTCAGTGGGCATGGCGCTCAGGAGGCGCAGCGCCCAGATCCATTGGCCGCCCTTTCCGCAGGCCGAGATGGCGGAGTTCAAGGTGATGGTGTTCCGCTGGATGCCCTTCATAGAGGAAAGGACCTCAGACCCTCTCACCCAGAGAGCTTGGGAAACCCTCAAACTTCAAGTTACTGTTCCTTGGAACCTTTCCTGGGTGGTCCGTGGGCTTCCGCCCTCTCATGGAGTTGTTGAAGTGCGGACCTTCATTGGTTGCTACAACAAGTTGACAAGTATTCAAGCAACCCTTCGGGAGCTGAGGTCTAAACGATCCTTCACCCAACCCCGTTGGGCGCCGCGGTCGGATTCTCATCCCGCCTGAATGGCCATCTGCCAGAGGGTGGCCTTGGCACAGGCGTTGATGCTGGCGCTGCAAAGGATGGTGTTCTTCCTGATCTTCGCCTCCTCCATGCCGCGCCACAGCTCTAGCACCTCTCACGACTCACAAGGGCTCGGACAAAAATCATGGAACCCACAAAAACACGGGGCAGCCGTCAAAGCACCACTGGCCTGTTGGCATGTCTGAAGGGCTCAAGGAACGAGATGCCTTGGGCACAGCCCTTACGGCTCAAGAAATTCCACCCGCATCGCCAACGAGCGCATAGTTTCGGAGGGACAAATCTAGCCGGCCCGAGAGCTAATTCACTCACAAACCTTCTTCCAACAAAGCGGCTCAACGACGTATGCTCGAAAACTTAAACCTTCGCCTTGCGCCACTGCTTACCCTTTGCGCAGGCGCAGGTGGCTGAGCAGCAGGTGATGGCATCCATCTCCACCTGCTGGCCTTTCATCTCACCCAGCAGCTGGAGAGCTGGCTGCCACGCGCCCGACCTCTCACAGGCGCTGACCTCACACCGGAACCATGCAACCGTCCCAAACACTCCCATTTGGGAAAAGCAGGCCATGGTGTGTTTGGGTGGGTTGGCTGCGCGTGTCTGCGTGGGTGTGGGTGTGCGTGTGTGCGTGTGTGCGTGTGTGCGTGTGTGCGTGTGTGCGTGTGTGCGTGTGTGCGTGTGTGCGTGTGTGCGTGTGTGCGTGTGTGCGTGTGTGCGTGTGTGCGTGTGTGCGTGTGTGCGTGTGTGCGTGTGTTCGTGTGTGCGTGTGTGCGTGTGTGCGTGTGTGCGTGTGTGCGTGTGTGCGTGTGTGCGTGTGTGCGTGTGTGCGTGTGTGCGTGTGTGCGTGTGTGCGTGTGTGCGTGTGTGCGTGTGTGCGTGTGTGCGTGTGCGCGTGTGCGCGTGTGCGCGTGTGCGCGTGTGCGCGTGTGCGCGTGTGCGCGTGTGCGCGTGTGCGCGCGTGTGCGCGTGTGCGCGTGTGCGCGCGTGCGCGTGCGCGTGTGCGCGTGTGCGCGTGCGCGCGCGTGCGCGCGTGCGCGCGTGCGCGCGTCGCGCGCGTGTGCGCCGCCGTGTGCGCGTGCGCGCGTGCGCGCGTGCGCGCGTGCCGCGTGCGCGTGCGCGCGTGCGCGCGTGCGCGCGTGTGCGCGCGTGCGCTGCGCGTGCGCGTGCGCGCGGGCGCGCGTGCGTGCGCGTGTGCGCGCGTGCGCGCGTGCGCGTGTGCGTGCGCGTGCGTGTGCGTGTGCGTGTGCGTGTGCGTGTGCGTGTGCGTGTGCGTGTGCGTGTGCGTGTGCGTGTGCGTGTGCGTGTGCGTGTGCGTGTGCGTGTGCGTGTGCGTGTGCGTGTGCGTGTGCGTGTGCGTGTGCGTGTGCGTGTGCGTGTGCGTGTGCGTGTGGTGTGGGTGTGGGTGTGTGTGTGTGTGTGTGTGTGTGTGTGTGTGTGCGCGCGTGTGCGTGCGCGTCGTGTGGTGCATGTGGGCGTGTTTCAGGCGTACGCCTGCGGCGCGTGTGCGTGCGCGTGCGCGCATGTGCGCACGGGTGTGCGCGGGTCCCGGGTGCGCGCGTATGTGTGCGCACGCACGCGCGTGTGCGCTTGTGCGCGTGCGCGCGGTGTGCAGGTGTCTGTGTGTGGGGGTGGGGGTGCTTCTGTGTCTGTGTGTGCTTGTGTGTGTGTGTGTGCGTGTGTGTTTGTCTTTGTGCTTCTGTGATGTCTGTGTTTCTGTGTGGTGTGCTTCTGTGTGTGTGTGTCTGTATGAATCTGCGCGGTTCTTGTGTGCCCGTGCATGTGCGTGCGTGTGTGCGTGTGTGGGTGGGTGGGTGGGTGGGTGGGTGGGTGGCCCCTCCCTTTCAGGGAAAATGCGAGGAACAAACAAGCAAAAGGATAGTTTTTCGGCAGCTGAGGCTTTTGCCGCGTTTCGCACGAGTTGCTTGATAAACTCGCTCACTCCAAGAGCTTTTGAATGGACATGGACGAAGGGAGCCCTCAAAAAAGGTTGCAATTTGTTTTTGACACCCACCCTACCCGAAATGCGTGACAGGATCCACCCCTCTCCTAGCCCCGCACCCCAATTTTCTTGAGGAAAGGATCCCGCCCCTGATATGTGCCACGGCCAAACCTCCCATGGAAATGCGGGCCCTGGCTTCCTTCAACGGAATGAGGCAAACGGCATGAGGAGGGATATCGCCCGCAAGCTCCAGAATGGCTCCCTAAAGGCGAAATCCAAATCGGGAAATTCTCAGACTTCGGGTCCCCCAACGCATAGCCTCACAGTCAACTTCTCGCCTAACGTCCTGGCCCTTCTTTTTCGGTGTTGTCTATTTTAGTGGGAAAACCCTCCCCCAAAAAAGGGGCAAAGGCAAAAGGGCACTAACTACTGGGGGACCTAGCTTCTGACATTCCCCAGGCGCCGCGATGTTGTAGGCCACCTGCCCCGGGCGGACATCGTCGCCGCTGAACACGCGCAGCACCTGCAGCGCGGCCGGCCAGGAGCGGCCCACGCAGGCGCGCAGCGCTGAGCCCAAGGTCTTCGAGTCCTCCCGGAGGGCGACTTTCGCGACCCATGTTCGCGGCGACTTGGGGGCAAGGGGGGTGGTTTACAGGACGCCTTTTGGGGAGTTGCCTCTTTTTTTTGGGGGTGGCCATGGAAGGAAACCCGGCCCCATTTTTTTGGAACCACTCGAAAGTACGCCGCACCCCACTGAAGCAAACTTGTGTCTGGTTTGGGGGTCCAACCTCCCATGTTGCTTCCGTCCCACGGATTTCTTCCTCCCACGGTTTCAGCAAAGGGAGACACCTGAGACACCTGGTTTGCAAGGGGGGGGGGGGGGTAGCAAGCTGAACATGGTCTGCAAAAGAAAAATACGTTGCCCCATCAGCCGGAACATTCTTCCCCTTAGGGGTACTGGGCTGCCCTCAGATCCCCTGCTAAAAGTTTAACTTTCCGTTGGTTAAATGGAAACCCTGAAAGGCCAAAAGGGGATGGCTGAGAGTCACAATATTTCACAAAGGCGGGTGCCAAAATCACGTTCTCACACTAAGATGGCTGCGCGCTACCATGAAAAGGCTACCTCGTTCCCGCTCCGAAAGCGAATGTGGAGCCTGCCAGCTCGGCACCTAGCGAGCTTCACTGGTTTGACAAGTTTCCCTGAGATCTCCTCCGCGTTCCCCCGGCCTTTTGGGCCTGGCTTGGGGGGAACCAGGCACTTGCTACAAACAAATAACTGGAAGCAAAAATCGGAAAGCAAGTCCGTTCTTAGCATGAAACCCCACCAAATGTAGGTAGCAGTTGAACACAAGCGTTTTGCATGAATCCAACCAAATTTCGCCTGAAACAAGGGCCCCCAACCCAAAAGCCGCCCCCCCCCCCCCCCCCCCCGACCGGTCCACGGGCATGGCAAGTTTCTGGGCCAACTCCAAGAGCATCACGGCGCTCTGCCACTTTCCGGCCTGCTCAGGAGGGGCAAACAGGTCACTTAGGGTCAAACGGTTCACTTAGGGATCACGGTCACTTAGGGACACACGCTCACTTGAGGATCACATTCACGGATCACTTAGGGATCACATTCATTGATGACGGAGGTGGGGAGGGGGGGGGGTTGGTATGATAAGCACACTCACTCAACTGCTGCAGACCAGCCTTCTCCTTTACCGGATTACAAAGTATCTGGGGAGGGGGTGGGGGGGGGGGACGATAAGCACACCCGCCCAACAGCTGCAGACCAGCCTGCTCCTTTACCGGATTACAAAGTAACATGGCTCTGGGGAGGGGGTGGGGGGGGGTTCGTATGACAAGCGCACCCGCTCAACTGCTGCAGACCAGCCTGCTCCTTTACCTGATTACAAAGTAACATGGCTCTGGGGAGGGGGTGGGGGGGGGGATGATAAGCACAGCTGCCCAGCCGGCTCAACAGCTGCAGACCAGCCGGCTCCTTTACCGGATTACAAAGTAAAATGGCTCTGGGAGACCAGCCTGCTCCTTTACCGGATTACGAAGTAACATGGCTCTGGGGAGGGGGTGGGGGGGGGGTTGGTATGATAAGCGCACCCGCCCAACTGCTGCAGACCAGCCTGCTCCTTTACCCTTGCTCAACAGCTGCAGACCAGCCTGCTCCTTTACCGGATTACAAAGTAACATGGCTCTGGGGAGGGGGTGGGGGGGTTAATCAACAGCAGGCCTGTTTTTGACACACAGACACTGCACAACACCTCGTTACGGCTTTATAGAGATACTCGTATGTTTTTCAAAGACCGCTTTTTAGCGCACACTGATTTAATATACCTCCTTCTGGAAACGATGTACAACATTGTTTGGTTGCCCTCATGGTATGATAAGCACACCCGCTCAACTGCTGCAGACCAGCCTGCTCCTTTACCGGATTACAAAGTAACATGGCTCTGGGGAGGGGGTGGGGGGGGGGGTGATAAGCACATCCGCTCAACAGCTGCAGAATAGCCTGCTCCTTTACCGGATTACAAAGTAACATGGCTCTGGGGAGGGGGTGGGGGGGGGGGTGATAAGCACACCCGCTCAACTGCGGCAGACCAGCCTGCTCCTTTACCGGATTACGAAGTAACATGGCTCTGGGGAGGGGGTGGGGGTGGTTGGTATGATAAGCGCACCCGCTAAACTGCTTGCAGACCAGCCTGCCTCCCTTTACCTCGCTCCAACAGCTAAACACCAGCCCTTCTCCACCCTTCCCCCCCTTACAAAGTAAACATGGCTTGGGGAGGGGTGGGGGGGGGGATGATAAAGACACACCGCTCAACAGCTGCAGACCAGCCTGCTCCTTTACCGGATTACAAAGTAACATGGTTGGGGGGGACTGCTGCAGACAGCCTGCTCCTTTACCGATTACAAAGTTTAACATGGCTCTGGGTGTTGAGGGGTGGGGGGGGCGGATTACAAAGTAACATGGCTCTGGGGAGGGGGTGGGGGGGGGGCATGACAAGCACACCCGCTCAACTGCTGCAGACCAGCCTGCTCTCTTTACCGAGTACAAAACAACATCGTTCTGGGGGGGGGGGGGGCTGGGTGGGGGGCATGACAGGCACACCCGCTCAACTGCTGCCGACCAGCCTGCTCTTTTACCGGATTACAAAATAACATGGTTCTGGGGCGGGGGGCTGGGTGGGATGATAAGCATATCCGCTCAACTCTTCTACCGGATTACAAAATAACATGGCTTTGGGGGGGGGGGGGGTTGGGTGGGGGGATGATACCGCATCACATGTGGTCTTGTTTGGTTTCATTGGGGGTCGTGCTTAACAGGATCGCAACCATCTAACCAAAACAGGACCCACATACGACCTCTGAAAAATGGAAGGGTCCGCCACTGACATGTCAACACGCATGCACACAACCACATACATGGACTCGCCAGCATACATAGTAACATATGTCATGAAACATACACGTCACATATGTCATGCGATATACACGCCAACAAGCACAAACAAGCGCATTCCTGCTCGCGCATGCGCGTATATAAACATACATCGCCAGGCAAACATATCAACACGCATGCATGCGCGATAAGCCTTCTGCAAAAAGCGATCCCGGAGCGATCCATTTGCGCGATCCCTAAGCGAACCATTCGCGCGACGCCTAAGCGACCCACTGCCCCTCAGGAGGAGTCATGGGCTTCAAATTCCCAACATTTGGGCCCTGTCCTTTTCTTGGAGGGCACGCATTTTCGTCTGGTGAAGGGAAAGCAAAAGGACAGCCGAAGCCCTTTGTTTGCCTAGAGCCTGTTTTTTGGCCTAAAAAAAGACACCCGTTTGTTTGAGTCCAGCTGGCTTCTCTTTAGCCCACCATTCAGAGTTCTTTTGAGGGTATCACTTTCATGAACCCAGAGCCATGAATGAAGGAGGCGGCTTGTGGGGCCTTTCGATCGGGTACTTGGGGCCTACTCAAAAGTCAAAAGGTCGACCAAAGGAGACAATAAGTATGTGTCAACATAAAAAGAGAGACCGTCAAATGGTGGCTTCTTTTGGTTTGAAGCAACACCCAAAAAGAACATACCCCTCGTCATTCTGCGTAAGATGCTTGTCCTTCGGTCTGCGCGCGACGTGCTAGGACCCTCTAGGGAAGCCCCATAGAACATTCTTAGGGGGATTCACCGAACCGTTCGGAAAACCTCTCTGGGGTTGGGGAATTTCGGAAGGTCCCAGCGGCTCTCCAGAGAAAATAAACTTCGTGCCTGAGAATGATTTACCCTTTTGGGCCGCCTGCCAGTATGGTGTCATGGTCCAAAGATTGTTGCCTGCCAAGCCGTATGCAAACGGGGGCCAGGGCAATGAAGCCGTGCCTGAGACAAACTCTACAAGCTGAAGCACGTCAGGTGTTTCCTAAATCTGGACTTTGACAGTGGTTGGCACATGCATTCCCAGCAACGCAACCCATCATGGTAATGGAGGCCACATCCACTCATCTCCTGCCAGGCTCTTGAAAGCTTCGACTCTCTCCCAGCAGCCCTTGATGAGGCCTTCTCATGTTTGTTCGGGCCGCAGAGGTCCCTTTAGAATCAAGTGCCAAGAAACGGGATGCTTTGCCTTCCCATGGAAGGCCGCTTTGTACACCTCCAACTCGCGCAAACCCTTCTCGGTTCCTCTGAAATGTTCAGTGGGCTGAAGCCTCGCTCACAAGGCAGCTCCGTCCCCTGCCTTTCCGCAGGCCCGAATGGCTGCGAGGTGGACCTCATCCACTGCCTCGCACCCTGCCAAATTCGCTGGCGCCCCCCCCAAGTCCACGTCACTTCATCAGCACCAAAAGCCGTGAGGAATGCAAGCGGCGCTTCAATGCGTGAAATGGGAGCGAGGAAGGAAAACCAGTGACTTGTGGCATGAGTCTCGCGTGAGATCGACCGGGATTCACAAATCCAATTGCGCAGCAGATCTGTCCGGCTGCTGTGCGCAGATTCGGCATCTGCCGCTCCCAAAGCTCGGCTGTTGGGGCCGGTGCCGAATCCCACAGCTCCGACCAATTTCCGCACCCAAAAGTCAAGAAAGAATCATCGAAGCGTCCGCTGAGTGCTCAGGGGACATCACTCCGCGCTGTTTCCTTAAACTGGGCATCCACCATTCCTCCCTTTAACATGACGCAGTCGTGGGATAATTGAAAGATCAGTGTCCTCTGAAAGTCACCCTCTGTCTGGTGCCACCTTTGTGTGAGGGTCAGCCACTTCCGACCTCCCCAGCCCTGCCTACCAACAGGGCCACGGCCTGCTGCCACTGGCGTAAATCACCCTGCCGCACCAGCTGGGCTGTCGCGCGCTGACCCTGGCATCACCAACCCCTCCTCCCTCCCCCTTCTGCCAAAAAAAAGTGTCTTCAAAGGAACAAAACAGCAACCAGGAAACCGTCTTTCCCATAAAGCGTCGCTACGTGCCCGACGTGCAAACATAAACTCGTGCGGGGGCACCGATATGCGGTATCTGTATTTTTGAGTCAGTATGGTGTACTCTTCAGTGGTAGGAGCATGTCTCAGGGCTACCTCCAAAAGCCCCTGACGCTGACGCCCGGTGACTCGCCCGCCTCATCTCTCCCCATCGATCGATCGCGCGACCGGCGCGTTCGACACGGGCAGCCGGCTTCAAGCCATGCCTCCAATCTACCCCTTTCCCTCCAAAAAATGGGATAGTCAGTAGGCAGGGTCTGACCAAAACATTCAACTTGCAAATGCTGAAGTCACTGGGCTTGAATTATCAAGGAGATCCCTTCACAGCACGGGGCTCCATTTGCAACAGCTTAGAATCCAAAAATAGCGCATGGGGGAATGGTGACCAGCTTGCACGTCTCTGACGTATTTCTCTTGCGCTGCTTGGCTCGGGCCCGCTCACATAGTGCAATTGCAAGGAAATATGCTCGTTGGTTTGTGGCAAAACGGCCATTCGTTGCCCTTCTACTCACTCAAAGCCAGCCAGAAGTGGCAACATCAAAGTGCAGAGATCCTCCCCACGAGTAGCTCGCATGATCTTTACTGGAGTTCTTGCATGGATCTGATTGACTCATGTCCGCCTGGATTATATCTATAACAAACGCAAACTCGCAACGACACGCAGCTGATGACTTATTCCAGTTTTGAACCCCCCCCCCTTCCCCGACAACCTCATTCTAAATAATAACATGTGCCCTTGCTGCGCCTGGATTGCCACACTGACTGCGAAGATCTCAGCCAACTGGCCCCCCCCCCCACAAAAAAAAAAAAAAAAACGGGAACGCGGTCAGAAGGGTTGTGGACGAATTCTACTGCCATAAACGCCAGGACATACTAAAAAGGCCTCGCTTTTTCCCGGCCGCGACAGAGGGGGAAGGAGTCTGAGCCAGGAGGATTGGGTTGGGAACCTTCCTGCGCCAATTCTCGGACATCACGCACATGCCCGCCAAATGATAAGCAAGCCACTCAGCACTGCAGGCCTGGGGCAGGGGCCCGGGGGCACGTTACTGGGGAGCTGTTGGTGGCGTTGGTTTGCCTAAAGGCACGTGAGTGATGTGTTGCGGGTCCACGGCGCGTACGTACTAAGATCGCCTTTTTCGGGTGCGAAGCGTGGGTCAAAAATCAAACCCAACACATCAGCGTCACAAGCGCCGATTCAGCTAAGGTGAATGCAGTGCAAACGGGAACTTCATGCTATGTCTCCTCTAGGGAGAAAAAAACGTCGGCAATTCCATCACGGCGCCAGAACATGCAAGTCCCAAGTTTGGGGCCAACTTGTGACAAAGACCGCAAAAGTGGGCGCCATTGGACGCCCAATCGAACACGTGGACGCCCAACACCTTGCCCATTTTGGCAGAGGGCCAGGCTTGCACGTAGCCCCTGCAAAGTGCTCTGCACAACTCGCCCCAGATGTCCGGGCGAATGGGAGCTAACCAAGTGAGGCTCGACCCGGAGCATCAGCTAATTTTGGGAGGGCCCTGTTCGATTGCACACCTCCCAACGCCCAGCCAGGTAGAAACAGAAACCTTCTGCTCACATTGAGAAGTCGATCAGCTCATCTGATTCTTGGCCTCGCGTATCCGGGTTTTCGGCTGCCTTCCCTCGGCTTCCATCTAGCGATCTAGTCATCTCGCCTCTTGGTATGGCCTCGCAAAAATGCTTGTTTCTTGCAGCCCCCCCCAAGTAAACATGAACAGAGCCAAAACAACAACAACAAAAAGAACATGCCAAGAAAACTGAAGTTGGTAGTTTGGAGCCGAATCGGTGGCTTGGTGTTACGGGGTGGTGTCCCATGTCTTCACGAGAACCATGGCTTCAAGTGCAAGCCCGAGCCATTCATTCATCCATGGCAATCGCATCGGAGGCACCAGGCAAGACATGCAAGCTTCTGAGAACTGCAGTGGGTGAAACATTTTGTGTGACATACGCAACACAACAGGGACGGAGACAGGAGGCCATGGCAAACGTTGCAGCGCGGTGCGGCTGCACGCTTGCATACAAAGGAGCATGCCATCAAATAGCAATCCAAACCACTAACTCGGGGGTTACAACTCCCTCCCCTTCAGGAAACCCAAAAATGCTGGTTTGGATTGGGTGCCTTTGGGGAGTTGAACCCTGCGTTCTTGTCGGTGCATGAGGAACCACCCTTACCAAACCCCCGGGCTGCAAACCACCACTTCGGGGTAATGGGGGTAAGGTGAGCCGACGGGCGCCCCGACCTTACCGACCTGAGGACCCAGCCAGAAGCCCCCAGCTTTTGCTCCAGCTTGTCAATGCTCTTCTGCAGCGCGGTGAAGTTCCCTTGCATCGAGGTTGCAAGCCTCAGCTTCTCAACAAAACAAAAACACGCCTGTGACCCAGCCGAGGCGTTAGGAACCCCGAAACTTCGCACACTTTTTGTGCTAGGGGTGTGCTTTTTGGGGTTTTGCGGGGGAACCATCACTCTTGGAGGGGAACCGTGGTTGAGTAATCTGGGGTTTAAATGATCCGTTGCGCACCTCCGATTTGCATATTTCGCGTGGCCGACATAAGGACAGTTGACATATGCGTCGGCTGATTTCGGCTGGAATTGCCCCACAGATTCCTGGCAACAAAACTCAAACTTGCGGCCTCAAGCAAAGCCGTACGTAGGTTTACCCTCGGAACAAGAGTCCTGACGCCGACTCGCGTGTACGGGAATGGCGTGCTTCAATACCGGCAGACTGTCGGAGCTGCAGCACAAGATGAATCTCACTTGAGCGCCCAAACCCCCGTTGCCTTTTGGTTCCACTGCCATGGTTGAAAAGGTCGGGCTTTGCAAAGGTCCTCTTTGAAAGTATCGTCCGTCCCCCTGCCCCCCGCCGCAGATTGCGCACTAGGCATGTGAGAATGGCAATGCGTCTTAAAACGCGGCAAAGCATGCGCCGAGCAATGTGTAAGCGCAGGACGTGGCAAACCAGTCCAGCCCGGACAGGCTGGGAGTCGCTACCGCCTCTCAGATTCCAATGAGGAAACCGTAGCCGGCACCATCACGCCCTCCTTTTGTGTCCGCTGTTGCCCTTCCGGGAGCAATAATTATATGTATCTCTGCGGCCGTCTTCAGAATTATTTGGGGATTCGTGCTAGGACAGCCTTGCAGGTTCGCCGCCCCTTTCCAGCCCAGTCACTGCATGTGGTCATACATCAGGCTGAGTATGTCAACGTGGGATGCTGGACCCTTGCACTTCCTCGGGCGTCAAGCCGCAGTCCGTGGACTTTGGCCATTCAAATGCGCAGAACACCTCAGGACTCTCAACCTAACCGGGCCAGCTCCGACTCGCTTTCTGGCAAGGCGCCGCATAAAAAATAGGAGCTCATCCACTTTGTCGGTGCCCTCGCGATTCTGTGCCCAACGCTCCTTCAGCTTGAAGATCATCTTCACCTCACCGCCGGCAAGCGGGCAAGCTGGCAAGCTGGCTCCCAACATTCTGACCATCCGGCGGAGAAAAAAAATGGAGCGAGAGCCCCAAAGCTGCGAAGGCAGCATGCGCCCAGACATCGGTTTTTTGGCATCTCTAGGTCGCTTAGGCCCTAGGCGTTTCTTTCGCCGTAGCTTCTCACACGAAAATGTCTTCCCGCCTGCTTCGGGGCGAAGCCGAGGTGGCTCCAAAGGGCCTCAGAGGAAACGAGGCCCAACCACACCCAAACACACAGCTTAGATCAAATTGGGTGTGGCTCAAACATGGGGTCCAAAATGGGACGGTACATAGAAAGGACTGAAACTGCGTAACCCTAGCTATTTTTTCTTTTGAGCCCACCCAATTGGCCAACCGCATCTTTAAAACCTAAGAAGGTGCATGCCAGCTCTACTGTTTAGCCGTTCGTTTTGTTGAACATGTGAAATAAGTTTGGCCTCGCCTGCGGCTACCCGCAATTTGTGACTGCCACAAACACGCTTTGCCCAACCTGCCTGGTTATTGCGCTCGGCCAAATGCTCGTCTAGCCTCAAAAGTGAAGCACAAGCCGCCTGCCCAGTCTGCAAATATGCCTTGCTCAAACCTTTTCTCAAGGGTTGGTTCCCCTCTTGGTTTGCCTGTGAAGCCAACCAAAAGTGACTAGGTCCTCCAGTAGAGAGGTTAGAGTAAGGGTACCCTTTTTTCTGTAGTGTTTTTCAGTAGGGTCCTCCCCCAAAACAGGGTAAAAGGGCACTACTGGGACTTCCAAATCAGTCAACACCGTGCGCACGCCCAAGCAGCTCCTCCGAGGTAATATGGCCACTGCCATCCTCGTCCGCTTTTACCAGCACCGCCCTGAGCAAACATCCGACCAGATCGCCGGTCTCTGACGATGCAAACAACGCCAGGCCACGGAGAAATCCCACAAAACGGAGTAAACATTGTGGGAATCTCGTTCATCCATGCGCGTCACTTTTTTTGATGACGAGGCATTTGGCTACCTTAGAGTCATTCGCCGGGCCGCTTCAGTTTTTTCTCCTCCACCTCTTCTTCTTTTCGCTGTGACCTCGGCTGAAGCTGGACCCAGGACTCAAAGGTGTTACAGGATCCCTGGCGTCTTCTTGCGGCCTACGGCCAGGCGACGCAGGCTGTGCCTGAAAGAAAAAATGCGCCAGGTTGAAGTCGTTGAGTCTGGGTTGGTTTCGAGTGGGTTGGGAGCTGGCTGGAATGGATTTAGGTTGGGCTTCGGGTCGAGTTTAGGATGGTTTAGGGCAGGTTCAGGGATGGGTTTAGGGTTGGCTTCGGGTTGCTGAAGGGCGGGTTCAGGGTGGATTAAGGGATTGGTTTAGGCTTGGCTTAGGGTGGGTTTAGGTATTGGTTTGAGATTGGTTACAGGTTGGGTTGGCTCGGGTTGGTTTAGGGCGCGTCTGGGGTTGGTTCAGCGGGAGAAACACATGAACCAAACCATCCTGGAAAGAACGCCCTCTGTTGTACAGAGCATCGTCAAGTTTGACCCGCGCCGGAAATTGTGGCGTCAACATGTTGCAAAGGATATGGTCAAGTTCAACTCGTTTCGGAAATGACGCCACCCAATGTTGTGGAGGGCGTGGCAGGTTCAACACATGCCAACCAGATGCAGCACAGGGCATGGTCAAGCTTGACCATGGAGGAATCATGCCACCCGCATACTGTAAAGGGCACTCAATCCCCACCATGCCCCAGCAATGTCTGGAACACATCCTGCCTTGCATTCAGCCCTGTTTGGGTGCGGCCCAGCGTCGCTGTAACCTCATCCTCGCTTTTGCAAGCTTCGGCAGCACTCACAGCACTGTCCACGAAGACGCCTCTCGGCCAGGCTCACCACTAGGAGGCAGGAGCAGAAACAGGTGCAGGAGGACAGGAGCAGGAGCAGCAGCAGCAGCGGCGGCGATGGCGGTTGGGGGGTGACGGCGGTGCTGATGGTAATTGTCGTGCTGGTTATTATTGTGGTGGTAGTGGTGGTAGCGGTGGTGGTGGTGATTGTGGTGGTGATTGTCGCGGTGATTGTGGCGGCGGTGGTGGTGGTGGCTATTGTTGCTGTAGTGGTAGTGGCCGTGGTACTGGCAGTAGTGGTAGTACTAGTAGTAGTAGCAGCAGCAGTAGTGGTAGCAGTAACTGGTAGTTGTAGCAGTAGCAGCAGCAGCGGCAGTGGCAGCACCTGTGGCGGTGGCAGGTTGCAGGTGGTAGTAGTAGCAGCCGTCATGGCAGCAGAAGCATTGTAGAAGTAGCGGCTAAAGCGCCAACAGCGCGAGGCCTGAACAATCAGAATGCGCGCGCCACGTGCCGTGTAAACCTACAATCGGGCTCTCTTTGGCAAACTGGACAGCGCTATCAAGTGATGACAGCGTGAGGTGTTTGTCGAAAACTGCCATGCGCTGGCGCCTGTGACCACATTGAGTAAGCCAACTACGCTGAAGGCAGTGAAGCACACAAACGTCCAGAAATATCGGTGCGCTGGATCCTTGGCTCAATCTTTGGCTACTCTGAAGTCCCGTCTGCAAAGGACAGGGCGTGCATACTGCTGCTTCAAACCGAGCAACCATTTTCTTGAGCAAGTCGCCATAACTCATCCAGTCCTGAGCACGCACGCACTTCTGCCTTGCCAGCGGCACTTTGCAGGCTATCATGTTGACATGGGACCTGTGTATGTGTAGTCTAGATGGCTGGTTGTCAAAATGTTGGCTCCCAGCTTTGTAGCGTAAATCACCATTCCATGGGGGCCGTATCATTCGGGCCGCATGATCACGTAGCCCTTGCGGCACAATAGGTTTGACTAAGAAGCGTACAAATGACTGACAGGCGCACGAGCTATCCGAGCTTGTAGAGCTGCTGCTAAAGGGTATTTTAAACCACACAAGAAATCTGACTGTTCTACACCGCATCTTCAGCAAGTAACAAAACGGAATATACAGTTTTACTTATCCTGACTTACAACTACAGCCTAGCAACATGCAAGTGGCCTCTTGGGCATTGCCTCCAACAAGGCGGTGCTAGCGCGGTGCTAGCGCGGTTGCCGATCGTTCCAAATTTTTCGCACGGTCATGTCGCAAGGTCCAGCACAGATTTCGTGACAGGCGCAATGCTTTCGGAAGGGCAGGCATGGCAGGCGCAGCACCTTCGCAACAGATTTCGCGGTGGACGCAGCACTTTCGCTTTGCGAGAAAGGAATGCCTCGAGCCCTGAGAGCGACCGGACAGAAGGGCCAAGCGTGCGCATCTCACATGCCACTTCAACTAACGTCCCCGACCTAGCGACGGGCTAGCGCGAAGCTAGCCAGTGGGATTTGAATGATTTAGGTGGGGGCGGGGGCCCGCTTCATTTCAAAAGGAAAAAGCAAGATGCAACAGGAATTATGCACATACTGTGTATAGCTCCTTAGCCGGCTTTTTTGAACGGATGCCATTTATATATATATATATATACACGAAGATTCATTCCACTGACGCCGCGGGCAGCCTGCCCCCATGTGCTGTCAGGAGTCATCGCCGCCGCTGATTGCTGCCCATAGTGACACCATCATGTTAGGCAAAGATCCGAAAGTCTCAACGACCTGTGCGACTTCCTGGCACCGGGGCAAGCGAAGCAGAAACTAACAGATGGTCCTTGACCAGACATAACCTGTCTGCAACAGGTAAAAACATTCTGCCCCCCACGTCACTACCCGGCCGGCGGTAGAGCCACGAACCCTGAACAAAGGGCACTGCAAAGGAAACTGCAATGTCCCAAGTGATATTGACGTGCAGGGCAGGTTGAATCGAAGGAGTTCGGGTCGGCCATGAATTATATAGGCTGAGAAACGGTCGAGATCAGCACCAGCCCTCTTCGGAGAAATTCAAAACCCCCGCAGTCAATAGTGTCAAGACAGGGGGCAAACGCAAGCTCAGTTCCGTCTTTCCCGCGCCTGGAGTTGCTCAGCGCCTGCGGTACAAAGTGAAGCACACAGCGCGCCATCGCCATTCGCTGGCAAAGGTTAGGGCAAAAGCTTGGAAGGCATGACATCGACCCGTACTTCGCGTACATGCGGCTCTGAAAAAGTTAAGTAAGGTCCAAAAGCTAGCTTAAGACTAGTGGCTCAGCGGCTGCTCGGAGTTCAGCTGGTCCATGCGCTCAAAGTAGCTCGCCTTACCCACTGGTCGTCCCACTGTCATCCCAGTGTCTAACCAGAATCTTGCTAAGTCTAGCGCCTGTTGACACAAAGGGCCTACTTTGACAATGTTTGGCGCCTGCTCGTTTTGGACTCGATGCAGGTGCCAAAGCTCCAAGAGCGCAGGGGAGGGTTGTGTGGCCGCATCTGTTCCGCAGACGGCGGCTTTCCACAGAAACGAGGAACCTGATCACAAGCAAGCGCCTTCGCCAGGCGAATTGATCACTCGCCTCCGCGACCTTCCTCTACGGCTCTAGCTCTATGCCCTCGGATCCTACATCCGAAACCCTAAGTCCACATTCCACATTGGAAGAATGAAGAGCACCGGAAAGACGTAAATGCCCAGAAGCCAACTTTTTACCATGACTCCAACACAAACCTTAAAGAAGGCTTCGGCAAGGTGGCTGGAATCCTTTCAACTCCAGTGTGAAAGATCGGCCAGGCCGCCGCAGCCATGGACAGAAACACACTATAGGCGAAGAGGACCACACCAACCTCAAGGTTTCAGGGCATCTCCCAAAGGAAAGCTGCTTGGAACCAGCTCAGATCTGACATGCTCAGCCAGCCACCACAACGGCAGCCGAAGCAAAGTCATGCACGGAAGTTGAGAGGGCAATAAACCTCAGCGCGAGGTCGTGATGCAAACAATTTGACATTCAGCGTGCTTCGTCAATGAGTCAATGAGTTCGCACTGCTGCAAGTTCAGTGCCCGAACCAGCTTGGATGCAACCAAAATGCACCGCGCGCATCCGCCGCAATCCCTGGCGGAAATTTGTTACTCCCCCCCCCAAAAAAAAGAAAAGAAGAAAAGCAAAGAAAAAGAAAGGACATTGTGTCATGGTCTAAAAGGGACCTGTGTTCCTAGGACACCTGGGCCTCCAAGCCAAAAAAATCGGGGGGGCTATGACCCGACTTACCTTTCCAGGCCTGGACCATGTCCATGTGCTTCACCTTGGCCGCTGGGTTTTGCGGCTTCCCTTGACCTTGCCTTAGCAACCCGAAAAAGGATCAGCTTCTCACTTCCGATGTGGATGGCCCAAAAAAAGTACCCAAACTGTTTTTGTCCTCCACTAAGGTTGTTCAAACCCAAAAAGTGACTAAAGTTCATGAACTCATGAAGTGAGTCTTCCCATTGATTGGCGGCTTGATCGCTCTCTCTCGGGTGGTGTCCCATCTACGAGAACCCCCGGGCTCAAAAGCTTCAAATCCCCAAGCCACCTAATCCAAACCACCAAGGTTTACCTGAGTGACACACACGCACACGTGCAAACCTGGACGAAACAAGACGGGTGAAATACTCCTTGACCCTGACTGGCACCTCAAGTTGACACGCCAGAATTCGTTCGATCCCCGAAACGACAGCCAACAGGTCGACATGCTTCGGATTCTGATCTAGTGCGTCTAAGGGATGAGAAAAAGCATTCCCAACCTTCCGAGTCAACCGAGTTGAATTCGAAGACTTAAAGCTAGTAGCACCTGCAGCATCTCACAGAACACACATGACTTTCCTCTCGCTAAGGTCCTGGCCAGCCGTGCCACGCGGAAAATGCCTTCAGCCAACTGCCAAACCAGCGAAAGGCGCCGGATCACAGGAGCTTTATTGAAGCCGCAGAAGATAAGCCAATAGCTTTTGAAGTTTCAGGAGCCGACAGTCTGAGAATGAATCTAGAATTGGAGACGTATATAAACTGAGCCACGGTTCAAGAGTCAGCTCAAAGAGTCAGGAAAATGTCTGCCAGGTTCTTGTCTATGGGACCCCCTTCAGACTCTGGGGTTGTCCTTCTCAGCCTGCCGAATCTTGTGGTCATCTGTGGTCGACCTGCCACTCTCTCGCTGAGCCTGCGGCAAAGGACCCGCAAAGCCCTTGGCTGCAAACCGGCAAACAAAATTGCGGGCCGTCTGCAATGTGTCTGTCAGTACGTTGATTGAAACTTCCCATTGACAACGATTACAAAGCATGTACCCTCCCGCCAGCTAACATTGAAGTGCACAGACCGCTGTAGAAAGACTACTTTCCTCTTGGAAAAGGCCATGTTAGTTGGTGGGAGGGTAATGCGTGGCCTGAACTGTCGCGCTTCCCTCCTGCAAAAAAAACGTTGCAGCCGGGCAAGGCGCCGTCATTGGAAAGCTCTGTTGTGTATCGTCTGTGCTTATGTGCGTGCGCGGTTGGTTTCACCCCAAGATCATGACGGCGCAATTCGCGCACCGGATTTCCAGGGCTCACCAAGCAACGACTCAAGTAACATTCTGGCAGACTTATGTCAGAGCCCCATGGGAGTCGCCAAGTAAGCTTGAAATCAGCATGAACTCTTCAACTGTCCAGGGAATGCACGGCGTCATTGCCCAATGGGCCACAAGCAATGGTTGAACTTGCCCCTTTGCAAAAGAAGCCTCACGGGGACGGTGTCAATTCGCGCGCCACCCCGATGTCCCCTTGCGTCTTACCATGAGCCGCTCCCAATCTTCGCAGCTCAGGCGCGAGAACCTCGCGGTGGTCAAACGCATCATCAGCGAAAGAGCCGACTCCAGGGCGAGCAGGGTGTCGAAGATATTCCAATACTGCGCCGGGAGAGACAGGCGCAGGCAAACCGTTTTGCTCAAGTCCAGAGTTTGCTCCAGCGGAATCTGCCAAGATTTGGAGGATGCTTTCGCCCCTGGAAA